TAAATAATGTCCTGATTTATTAAAATAATCTTAAGATTAGTCATTACTTGATTACTAAAATAATTTTATCACTTTTAATAGGATATTTTCGTAAAATTTATTTTTTTTACCATAATAATTGGTCAAACTAATATTTTTTTTAAAAATTTGTACATAAGTACTGAGTAAAAATTATTATGAGACTGAGAGAATATACTATTTCTTTTTTTTTGGGTCATTTAAAATTTTTACAAAAATTTAGTAAATAATTAAAATTAAAAATTTCATAAAAGTTGTTAATTTTTTTTAACTCTCTTATATATTCTTCATTTATTATATTAATTTTTCACTTTTTTATTATCCTTTATAAAAAACAATTATTTGGAGGAAAATAAAAAATAAACTATTTATTAATTTTTATAAAATAACAATAAAAAGTGAACAAAATAAAATTGTTAAAATGTAAAAAAAAGAAAGTATGGAGGGAGTATCATTTTATGTGTTTTATAAAGAAATAAATATGACATAAAGATTTAATTTAAAAAAAAATTAAAAGTAACTATGAAAACAACTTTAAAAGATTAGAATACAAAAGAAAAAAAAAACTTGGTTAAAATAGATTAAACATAAACAAAGCAATAACTTTAAAAAAAAAATAAAAATTAAAGAATGGAAATTTTAGAAAAACGTCGCATGACACTTTATTGTGAAAATGATGTCACATAGTGTATATATATATATATATATATATATAGATTCCTGACAATTTGAGCTACGTAAGCAATCTATTTTAATAAATAATATCCTAGTACCATAAAAGGATCCCATGCAACTTCCCAAAGTCACAATGCCATTCATGGATCTACTTTCTAATCCATGTTTCTTTGCTGCATTTTCTGTAGTTTTAACTCTTTTGATGGTTAAAGTTATGTTGAGAAGATTGCAGAAAAGGGAAAGAAAGAAGTACCATCCTGTTGCTGGTACCATATTTAATCAGATGCTGAACTTCAATAGGTTGCACCATTATATGACTGAACTTGCAGGCAAATACAAGACATACAGGTTGCTCGGTCCTTTCAGATATGAGGTTTTCACTTCAGAACCATGTAATGTTGAGTATATACTCAAAACCAGATTTGAGAATTATGGAAAGGTGGATACTTTATTATTGGATGAATTTAGTGGTAATTGTTGATGTTGACTTTCACTTTTGGGATGGATGAATTGATGAGATTCTATAGATGGGTATTTCTGCTGATATGGAATTTTTTTTAACAAAATTATTATTATTATTGCTTTAATATTCGTGTTGATTTATTTGTTTGATTAGACTAGTTTGTATGGAAGGGGTGAGGTTCCACTACCTGCATAGTGGATTGGATTCAAGTAATTGAAGAGCTTTTAGGATTTCCTAATGATGTCAAATATATTATGCTTTGGGTAGGTTTTCTCGATGACGTGAAGAATTTGAGCACCCAAATAGAATTCTTGAAGGATTTTTCTGAAAAAGGGTTTAAACAGAGAGTTCTGGAAATAATAAGTAATATAATGCTGGTTAGCAAGGGCACAAAATGTTATTAGAAACATAGATGGCACTTTGAGATGGTGTTTTCTGATTAATTAACACAGCATAAAGCGGTCTGTTTGATTCTTTAAATGATGAAGTTTGGTTTAATGGCTTCAATTTTGGTGCAGGGGTTGTACAACTACAACAATTTGAAGGATTTACTAGGTGATGGTATTTTCACTGTTGATGGTGAGAAATGGCGTGAACAAAGGAAGATAACGAGTCATGAATTCTCCATCAAAATGTTAAGGGACTTCAGCATTTCAATATTCAGAAAGAATGCAGTAAAACTTGCAAACATAGTGTCTGAAGCTGCAACTTCTAATAGTACATTGGAAATCCAAGTGAGTAAATATATGTTCTGAAAGAAGCTATCTTGTTGCCTTCTTTCATCTCATTGGTTAGCATTTTAACTTGCTCCAATAATTTGTATAGGACCTTTTAATGAAATCAACTCTGGATTCAATTTTCCAAGTAGCATTTGGAACGGAACTTGACAGCATGTGTGGATCAAATCAAGAAGGGAAGACTTTTGCCGAGGCTTTTGATACTTCAAGTGCACTAACCGTTTATCGTTATGTAGATGTCTTCTGGAAGATAAAGAAATTTCTGAATATTGGATCAGAGGCCACGTTAAGAAAGAACATTGAAATTTTAAATGAATTTGTTTTTAAGCTGATCAACACTAGAATTCAACAAATAAAGATTTCAGAGGATGTTTCTACTGTAAGTCTATTACATATGAGTTGCATTATATAAGGTGATAATGTTGACAATACACTCTTGTATTTACATGTGAGAGCATGACAGTTAATCTTGACTATACAATCAAATGGATGGTGAAGGTTAAACTTAAGTAAAACAATCTTCATCATTTGTGTATGGTTTATATGGCTAAGATTTACTCTTCTAACCTTTCGCTAGGCATGCTCCCAATATATAATGTATTTTTCACTTTGCATATGTAGAGTAAACGAGGAGATATTCTCTCAAGGTGTCTGCAAGGGAAAGAATATGATCCAATATACTTAAGAGATATAATTCTAAACTTTGTTATTGCTGGGAAAGACACAACAGCTGCCACACTTGCTTGGTTCTTGTGCATGGTATGTAAGTATCCTGCAGTTCAAGAAAAAGCAGCAGAAGAAGTGAGAGAAGCAACTAACACAAAAACAATTAGTAGCTATACTGAGTTTGTGTCCAGTCTCACGGATGAAGCTCTTGGAAAGATGAATTATCTCCATGCAGCAATTACAGAAACTCTCAGACTTTATCCTGCAGTTCCCGTGGTAAGGATAATTTTGAACTTTGATCTCATCATCACCAGATGTGGGAGGAACAAATCTTTACCATTGGTCTTGCTTGGTGCTTGCATAAATGGTTACAATTGAAACACCTCTAAAGGTGACAAGACTTAGTGTTTGAATTTTGATTACTTATGTCCCATATTTACACCCGCATCTCTCATCCTCTAAATTACTTGATAAGGGCTCAGGAGTATTGATGAATTCATCAGATTTCTAAATTCCCACGTTGATTTATTATTGTTGTAAGTGCTTGTATGATGAAATGGATTCTAAGTTTGGACACCTTTCATGTAGGATGCAAAGATTTGTTTTTCTGACGACACATTACCAGATGGATATAGTGTAAATAAAGGAGATATGGTAAGTTACCAACCTTATGCTATGGGTCGGATGAAATTCATTTGGGGTGATGATGCAGAAGAGTTTAAACCAGAAAGATGGCTTGATGAGAATGGGATTTTTAAGTCAGAGAGCCCTTTCAAGTTTACAGCTTTTCAGGTTTGTAGAGCTTTGCTAAGGACATTCATTTGGCATTTATTTTTATTATTTGGGTTTTGCTAACATAGCACAATCCACATTTTAAAGAATTAGCAAAATACACACACACCATGTAAATTCAAAAGCGTTTAATATTTGTTTAAGTGACTGATAGAGACCAAGGTAATAAATGCAATTGGGCACACGGTGAACTCATATATGTGTATATGTGGGTTTGTCTTTATGGAATTATCGGTGTAACTGTAATTTTCATTCATCAACAGGCTGGTCCTAGGATTTGTCTAGGAAAGGAGTTTGCTTATAGACAGATGAAGATATTCTCAGCAGTATTGTTAGGCTGTTTCCGCTTCAAATTGAATGATGAGAAGAAAAATGTCACTTACAAGGCGATGCTAAATCTTCATATTGATGGAGGTCTTGAAATCAAAACCTTCCACAGATAAGGGATTAGAAGAGATATTTAGACAATCCAAACTCTACAGAGAAGCTCAAAGTAGTTCAATAAAAGGGAAGTGTATCAAAATTCATCGATATGAATTGTTAGATTATTATTGTGAACAACCAAGGTAATAGTAATGTATTTTTTATTCTATTGCTGAACATGATTATTAGAAGGAAAAATGTAAATTGGACAATTGTGTCCTTTTGCAAAAATAAATCTCAAATAACATGCATAGTTATTTTGGATAGAATTATATATGCCAATATCGTCTTATAAGAAATGCCCAGTCTTTAGATATTTTGAAGATTTAAATTGTTCAGTGTAGAAATAAATTAGTAGGTGCGTCTCAACAACCTAAACTCAATGTAAAAAAATTTAGCTGACGGTATTAACGTTCCAATTTCGCTAACAAATTCTTGTAGCCAAAGCTACATTATTTTTCAATTGTTTGAGCGAAGATTCGTCCCCCAGAACACTTGGGATAACTTTTTCCCTCAGTTCTTATAATACAATAGAATTTGAGTAGTATACATTCAATAGAATTTAAATTTGAAACTTCAAAAAGAAATATCCAATTTTCAATAATTGAGGAGTCCCTTGAAGAACACAAATATGTAAATATTTGTAAGTTTAAACAAGCTTTTTGTCCCTAAATTTTTGTTTTTAGGTTTAGTCCTTAACAAATTTAGTGAGTACAAAATTAGTGTTTGCCATTAACTAATTAAGCATGCAGAGGGATATATTGCACAAAAAAAACATATAGTAGTGAATTCACAATCTACTAGGCTCTGAGACTAGGACAAGTGTTTATTAAGTTACAAATTCGTTGGCAAGGTGTTTTTTCTTTTCCTTTTTTTCAAATACTATATGAAAAAATGAAAATTGTACTCCTACCCAAATTTTTTGCAGCTCAATTTTAGAATCACTTGTTAACCTAACAGCAAGTAGCTATATTTGAATAAATTAATTAGTCGTTAGTAGTATCACGAATTATCACAATATTATTTCAGAATAAACTCTGATAAATTCGTCATTCTATTGTATTGAAATGTTTTATTAATATCAAAAAAATATTGAAGGCGGGTGCCTCAGCAGAACGCTGCTGAGCCTCAACGTCTGAAAAGTATTACAAGAAAGAACAGCTATTTATAATTTCATTCACTATAATAAAATATTAAAGAACAAAACTGTATTGGTTCACACCTCAGTAAAAAGCTTGTCGGATATTAATACTTCAGCATGACTGGTAAAGCAAACAATCCTATGCTAAATCTAATAACCTAGTACTAGTATGGGGGTAAGTGTTAGTTGTTACATATGATACAAGACATCTCTAAACCATAGAGATGAAACCATCATGCTTACAAACGGGAAACCTATAACCCCATCCTATTTTCCTAATAGTTACTATGTAAAATAGATCTGTAATCCACTTTCCAATGCCCTAAAGGCTATCATTTTATGAGGTGCCTAAGTCCATCACCTTCCCAGCCAAGCTTGAGCATTTGATCGACTACTTTCAAGCTCAACTGCAAGCAATAAGCAGCAAGAGTAACCAGACATATAGAGTAGGTTTTAACAGAACATCTATAGGACGTAATTTTTAATATAATTATGGTGGATTGAAGGAAAAATATTTTGGATGATGCAGATCATGCATAGAAAAAATTCACAGCTTTGATCTTTGTTAAGGAATGAAAATCTAATATGATTCTATATCAAATTTTTAGAATGAATGGAAGTTGTACACCATTCAAAGTCACGCCACACTTGCTAGTGCAATGTGGTGGAATTTTTTTGTGAGCGACTGAGTGAGTCCAACAGGCACATAAAAATGTCAAAATCTACCACAATACGTAGGTGTGAATTGTGAGATTACAAATAATGTGCTACGGTGCTTATTCTTTTAAGAAAGGCAAGTGAAATATAAAAGTTTACCCCTTTAGCCAATTTACAAGAATCAGACGAAAAACAAAATCCAACAACTCATTGAATATTTCAAAACAGTAATTCACTTGTAAGCATGATTGATATTTGACAATGATCCTTATTAAGAGTGATTTAACTTACAGTTGGATCAGTGAAGATAATCAATTGTTTATCCAAAGTTGAAACCAAAAGATTTGTGTTATCCTTATTTAGAGCAAGAGCTGTGATATCTTGTCCTTCTCTCATCTGCAATACATGAAATACCTACATAAGATAGCAAAGGACGGTGGTTAGCATTGAAAAAAAGTCCACAGACGATGCACAGTAGGATGGCAACAGTACTACTGAGGTTTGAAAGAATCAGAATGCAGAACACCTTAAAAGATTTGTTTCTCTCTTTTTTTTTTTTTTTGTCAGTTCCACTTAAACATCTTAATATTGTACCTCCAAAGTGTGCAAATCCAGGAAGCAGATTGATGGTGATGCAGCATTTATTCTGTTGCTTTCTTGTGTTTCTTGTGATTCTGAATAAAAATCGACAATACCTGACTTATTCAATTGAAAATTCCAATTGTTATTATAGGTTCCATTCTCTCGAGAACTTATTCCAATCAAAGCAAACCTCCCATCGACAGAAATTTCCATGCAACTAATGCTGCTAGAGATAGATAATTCTGTTTTAGCAATCAGAACACCATTAAGTGTAAAGGTACTGAGAATATGCTGCAATTCATCCCAAGCCATGACAACCCCTTCTGAGGAAAGGCAGACAGTATTGGCCACCACACCATCCAGCCTTCTGATTAAACGTCCCTTTCTTATAGAGTGCAAGAGAACATCTGATGAATGGGAGCATGAAACAACTATTCCAAGATCTGAGCTGACACAACAGCTGAGTATTTCACTGTGGTGCCCCCGAAGTACTTGTACAGGACCCTCAATACGATGTCCTCGATTCTTTTCTATCAACAAATGTGATGAAGAACTACTGCTGGTTGAAGGCATTGTGCCAGTCCCAGTAGAAGATTCTGATATGACACTTGAGCGAGATGTAACTGCTCTATGTATTCTCCATATTAATACTGTTGTATCTTGGGATCCTGTTACCAAGTAGTTACTATCCGGTGAAAGACCAAGGCAAGTTACAGGAGCACAGTGTGCATAGGCTGTTTCTAAGGTTTTTGCTCCATCTGAGGATATTACCCTAATACTGTTATCAGCATGCCCGCCTGATTAGAAGTCAAAAGTTCAAGTTAGATGTAAAATACTCAGTCAGTATAGAAAGCAACTGGTACAAATATGGTGCAAGTTTCTTAAATGCTGTGTAAGAGCTGAGGAGAGGATAATATAATCCAAAATACGAAAAAGAAATATTTCCTAGGAAAAGGATTTCTCATGCCCAACTGTCATCTTTTATAGGTAGTAAATGGTTTCATCGATAATAAGAGTTTACAATGGTTTTGGATTTTATAACCATATATGCCTATGATTTTGTTGTTGAAGACAAGTTCCAATAACAAATATCAATCAAACTTGCTAAAATGCCAGTATAATTAAAGTTTCTATTAAATGATTTGGCTAAATTCAATAGATTGCTTCAATTAATGGGTATTTTCCAGAAAATACTGGAAGAGGTTGGAACCATTTTAATTTAATTTTTTTATATCTAAATAACTTTACCCTCCTTATTCTTGTACCTAAATATTTTTCTTAACAAATTTTCTCTTTTACTGAACAAAATGGGTACTAGTGCATAGCTTCAATGTGAGATACAATTTGCTGTCTTTTCTAAGAAATACTAGAACAAACAAAGGAAATACCAAATGCTATGCAAGTACTGTAAAATTCCTGAAAATCCTACATGTAAATCCCCTTGATAAAAGTTAAAATTGATTAATGGTATTACTAATAACTCCCTATGTTGCCAGGCATGAGTATAATCAACACTAATGGTTCTTATTTTATACTAACTACTTTTCTTATAGAAAAGATTATCAGTAATAATTTCTTTGCTAACTAATAGTGGCGGCATATCTTAAAAATCCTAGCTCATCCAGATTTACCAGTAATAATTTCTTTGTCACATGTTATAGAAACTATAGCTTGGCTTCTAATTCCAGAAACAGCAAAAGCCAATGCTCGAGGATATTGCCACTGTTCACCAGTCCCAGGACCTTTGAACATGCGCATAAGTGTCCCACCAGCAGAGCCTGATGTAACCTTTCCATGCTGAAAGAGGAATGGAGTACCCTGGCCGTCAGGTGTATTGGGTTGCCACTTGTGCTGTGCCACATGAGCTGCTGGTGCATTCAAATCAACAACTACAACCATATCTGAAGATGCGTGGATGGCAGCCGCAGGTAGATTGCAGAGTTCAGGGGATGGAACAACATATGGTTTGACTACTTTTGGGTTGCGGAATATTGTCTGATATACAAAGAAATATATACGATATTATTATAATCACATGCATTGATCATTGATACTTGAGGAAACGTCAAACAACATTAAGAGCATTTATTTGAACATTTCATCACCGAAAATTTTTGAACAAATCTTAAAACATAGAGAGGCTCCCTCCTGTATTTACGTAAACGCTAATAATGAACACACTAATGAACAAGAATATTAATAGTAATACTTAAAACAGATAAAAGGGGCCTTTTTGATTTGGGCTGTGTCTAACCCAGGTTCATTATTCCTCTCTTTTTGTCACAACATTCTTCAAAGATAGACTGGGAGATATTGATCTCAAGTATTTGAGTTTGTTTTGACCAATGGAACATTTGGATGGAGGATGTTAAAGCACTTCTGTCAGTTGTTTAGATAAGATTTTTATTAAAATCTGTTAAATAAAACTTTTTTGAACATAGGACATGATTGCTAGTAGTTACCAGTAGTTTAGAGAAATTACTGCTAATTATATAGTTTCGGAGCTAAATAACTACTTCTGCTAGAAATGGGGTTGTGATTAGAACTCATGAAAAGGTGAGGGGATGTTGGAGCATTGTTTCTTTCTCATCATCACTATTACTACCTTATTTTGCTCCTTGATAAAAAAGAAAGGGTAAATTCATTCCATACCTTGAGATTTGTTAAAATAACAGTCAACTCCATACTTGGCCATCAAATCCATTCTTATGTTTAATTGATAACCAAAATATACGTAAATATATACGTGCAACAACTTCTGAAAATTCTTAAAATTACCCAAAAATTGAAAAAAAATTTATCAAGTATATCAAATAATCAATCAACGTCATTTGATGTTATATAGATGTTATCACGTTACTCATTTGATGTTACCATTTCCAAATGTAAAAAGTTTGAAGGCCATTTAGTTTAAGAGAATGTTTTCTGTTTTCATTTCTATTGTTACTTTTAATTACAAAAATGCCAACTTGTTTTCATTTATTTAGTTTTAAAATATTTGTCTAGAAAATATGGAAAATAACTTTTTTTTTATTTGAAACTTATAATTTTTATTAATAAATTTATTCATTCATTGTACAAGCTACTGAACACAATTTTGGTAATAAAAATAAGAAAAAAATATAAATAAAGATATTTCGGTGCTTCTTTCATGTAGTTCAATTTAAATTTCATTTTATTATAGTGATTTGCTTATAACCATTTAAATTAAGTGGAATTGGGGGGTAAAAGTGGGAAAATGCCCGTTCTCATGGGTGCTTAATTTTGAAATGAAATTTGAATTACACGCACATTTCAGTTTAAATTTAGAGTATATCCTATTTTAGCCAATGAAAGATATACCTGTTATCAATTTTGTGTCATCTGGAATTTTTATCCTTTTAAACAAATTCTGGTTTGCAATGCTAAAATGAATAAATAAACGACAAAAACAAAAAATACTATTCTTACACTTTTTAAGTTATTGTGATAAAGGACCAAAGGAATGAAACAAAAAGAGAAAAAAGTACAATGCTTATAATAATGTTATATATCTTATTAATTAGGAGTTAAACAATTATACATATAAATTATATCTTCTTCATAATATTTTTCAGCATTATATAGTTTTCAATTTTATGTTAAAAGGACAATTTAATTTTTCAAGGAAATTTCGCTATGCTATCTTTAAAACATTTTATCATCACATATCTAGAAGTACTCCCTTTGTCTCATGTTATATGTAACTTTTAGGTGTTTTAGTTTGTCTCAAAATATTTCGCACATTAGAAACAAAGAAAGCATTAATTATTCTTTCCCTGTAATACCCTCATTTAGTGATATTTCATCTAACTCCTTTAATAAGGGCATTGTGTCAAAGAAAATAATCTCATCATAGTATTTTGTGTAATTAATAATTTTCGCAAGAGGTGTGCATTACCATAAGAGTTAAATAATATGAGATGAAGGGAGTATTTAAAATTAAAAATAACTAATTTTTTTGTTTTAAAAAGATACTTGATGGTCTTAAGTCTAGTAAGTCAAAGATAAAAAACTGGGTAGAGTATAACTTCTGGTCAAGTTTGGGATTTGCTAAAAGAAATAGAGCATAATTTAGTCAAAAATAAATTTACTTTGGGCTCCTAATATTACCAACCAAAATTAATAAAAAAAACCTATTAATCATGCATGGCTAATCATGAATTATGAATTAGCCTGATGATTTCTGTATGTAAAGCCAGACATATTACAGAAAGCCAAATAAAACACAGGTAAGAAGACAGGGAAGCATACTCAAGCATGCTAGATGCTTACTCACAAAGATGTTATTGTAATCAATAAAGGTGTCACTGTCAAACAAAGACAATCAAGTTACCTGCAAATGCAGAACTTCTGATAATGGCATCTTCTTCAAGTGAGGAACTGTCAGAAGTTGGGATGGTGTTTGTCCAAAATAAGCAATCTGATCTTGTGTGGCACGCTGTTGCACCTTTACTTGGCATGCAGAGAAGGAATAAGTTACAGAAACATGAATAAAATATTTGTAGAGGTCTGATATGATTAAGACAGATTCTGGTAAATGCTTTAAAAATAATACACTCCAGATATAAATTTATGTGTGAAGTTTTCCATTTTTTAATGCCATTATGCCATCAATATTCCTAATTCAGCCATGTCAATTAATAGTAGCAATTAATTGTGTGGCACACTGTTTTCCCTGTTTTGGTAATTTTTGGTAGTTTTTCCTCTTTCTTCTAGGCTGACCCATGACAACTCCAGCTCCTCTGAAACCTGAAGCTTCTATTTTCACCAACTTTGTCACTGCTTCGTTGTCTATTAACAAGTTGGATGGTATTAACTATGATTCTTGGGCCTTTGACATCAAACTTTTGTTCAAGGGTCAAGATTATCTCAACCTTCTCACTACCAAAGAAGCAATCGTGGCTGTGACTAAACGTGCTAAATGGAGTAAGATTGATGCTCAACTTTGTGGTGTCATCAAGTCTACTATTCACCTTTTGTGAAACAGATTTTTCACTCCCATGATATGTGTGAATCGGTTTGGTCACAAGTCAAATAGCTTTATACTAATGACATACAAAGTTTATATAGAGTATGTCAAAATCTCATGGATGTCTTTGTGGCTTGGAAATTGGATGGCACTATGTCAACTTATTTGGGCCATATGAGTGGTCTTCTTCATTATTTCAATGAACTGCCCTACAATTGCTGCTATGGAATTGGAGAACCGTTAGACATTTTTTATGTTACTAACTTTGTATGGCTTATCTACATAGTATCCCAAGTTCACGATTAGATTTTAGGATCCAATTCTGCTCTCACTATGGCTACTGCTTAGTCCTCTTGCCAAGCCCACCACTGCCTCAGACATTCTTCCGACTCTTGTGTCATCTACTCCTTTTAACTCTTCCGCTTTGATCTAACAGGGAGGTGATCATGGTCCTTCTCATAAGACAATTGGCAATCATCGTCCACATTTTAAGTGTGACCACTGCCACAAAATTGACCACATTATTGATAGTTGTTATCTTATGCATGGTTGACCACCTAGAACAGCTAATGTGGTGCAGTCTACTCCTCTCGAATCTGCTCTGCAGTTGGCTCCCACTGAATCTGCTTTCACTTCCAACATCTCACCCACACTCTTCAACAATTTTCTTTGTTGGTATGGGAATCATCAGGCCTCTAGTTCCACTTCTGTTGTGCACATAGGTAATTCTTTTGTTGGTATTTCTTATTCCCCATCTCTTGATCCATGGGTGCTTGATTCAAGTGCCACTAATCACATTACCGATAACAAATCTCTCTTTTCTTCTCTCTTTACATCTAGCTACTTACCTTTTGTTACTATGGCCAACAAGTCTCAAACACAGTTTTAGGGTATTGGCACTGTCTCTCCTCTTTCATCATTATCTATTGACAACGTCTTATATGTTCTTGAGTCTACTTTTAATCTTTTATCTATAAGTTGTCTCACTCGCACACAAAATTGTGTTGTTTCTCTTATTAAAGATTTTGTTTTTCTTCAGGACCTGGTGACAGAGAAGATGATTGGCACCAGCTGTGAGTCACATAGACTTTATCAACCAACCCATCACACATGTTGGTTCAGCAGTGGATTCTTTTGCATGCTAGATTGAGTCATCCAAGTCTATAAAAACTATAACTATTAGTGCGAAGTCTCTCTCAGTTATATACACTTTCTTGTGAGTTATGTCAACTAGGAAAACATGTTTGTGGTTCATTTTCAAGTGGTGAAAATAAATGAGTCACATCTTCTTTTAAGTTGGTTTATTCTGATATTTGGGGCCATAAACATATTGTTTCTACTCTAAATTTTTGGTATTTTGTGACATTTATCGATGATTATTCTCATTGTATGTAGTTATTTTTTATGAAAGATCATTCTGAATTCTTTATTTTTCAAAATTTTTTTCATGAGATTAAAGTTTAATTTGGTCCCTCCGTTCTTTGCATAGTACTAATGCTAAAGAGTATTTGTTACATTCTTTTCAAAATTTCATGGCATCCCTTGACATACTTCATCAAAATTCTTGTGCTCATACTTCTCAACAAAATATGGTCGTTAAAAGAAAAAACAGATACTTTATTAAAACTACTTACACTCTACTCTTACATAATTGTGTTCAACATTGTTTTTTAGCATATTGATAACTTGTTACCTTATTTTGGTGTCTGAGTCAAGACCAATCTGTCGTGCCTTTTCCACCAGTTCTGATTGTTTTTCACCCATTAGAGGTCCCACCTCCTTTAGATGACCCTCCTCTATGTCCACTACAGGTGTACCATTGTCAGTCACCAGCTCCTCCTTCGACCACCGTTGATATATCATGTGACCCTCAGCCGACTCCAACGCATATGCCCCCTCCAACCTTATCACCCGACACTGATCTTATTGCACTTCGAAAAGATATACATTTCACATGTAACCCCTTTCATTATTGTATTACTTTATCATATCATCATCTAACTTCTTTCTAATATATGTGTCTTTCTTCTTTGTCTTCTATTTCTATTTCTAAGAATAGAGCAGAAGCTCTATCACATCCTGCTTGGCTTCAAACGATACTGGATGAAATGTGTGCACTTGACAGTAGTGACACTTAGGACCTCGTTCCTCTTCCTTCAAGTAAATTTGTTATGAGTTGCAGGTAGATATACACTGTCAAGTTGGTCTTGATAGTTAAGTGGATCGCCTTAAAGCTCATCTTGTGACAAGAGGTTTTGCTTAGATTTTTAGCTTGGATTATGGTGACTTGTTCTAAAATGACGTATGTTCGCTTGATCTTGTTCATGATTGCCATCTGCCACGGGAACCTTCATCAACTTGACATTAAAAATGCATTCTTTCATAGCAACCTTGCTGAAGAAGTTTATATGGAGTAATCTCTTGGATTTGTTATTTAGGGAGAGTCTTCAGGATTAGTTCGTCGTCTTTGGGAATTCTTGAATAGTCTGAAATAGTCTTCAAGAGCTAAGTTTAGTAGATTCAACATCGTTGTTCAATAGTTTAGGATGATTCAAAGTGAAGCTGATCACTCAATCTTTTATCACCACTCACCCACAGAATGCATTTACTTGGCTATATATGTGGACGATATTGTTATTATTAGCAGTGACCATCATAGCATTACACAATTGAAGAACCACTTATATCACCATTTTTAAAGAAAAGACCTTGATAAACTTCGATATTTCTTGAGAATAGAGGTGACATAATTCAAGCATGATATGATAATTTCTCAAAAGAAGTATGCATTGGATATATTAGAAGAAACATGTTTAATGGGAGCCAAATCTATGAAAACTCCTGTGGATCCTAATCCTAAACTTCTACCAAGTTAAGGAGAGCCTTTTGCTAACTCAAAAAAGTATAGAAGATTGGTTGATAAACTAAATTATCATATGATTACTCAACTTAACATCTCTTTTGTTGTTAGTGCAATAAGTCAGTTCCTCAACACTACCTATGAACGATATTAGGATGCATTGATTCACATCTTAAAGTATATCAAAGGAGCTATAGGAAAAGATCTCTTATAAAAGGACAAGGGTCATGATAAGATTGTTGGATATTCTGATGCAGGTTATGTAGACTCGCATGACAAGAGGTTCATTTTTGTCTATTGTGTTTTGATTAGAGGTAATCTAATTTCCTAAAAGAGCAAGAAGTAAAATATGGTTTCTCTTTTTAGTATATAAGCAGAATATTGAGTCATGACTTCAGCCACATGTGAACTTATATGGCTGAAACAATTACTTAAAGAATTAAGATTTGGAAAAGATACACAAATGACACTCATTTGTGATAATTAAACAGCCTTCACATTGTTTCGAATTCAATCTTTCACAAACAAACGAAACATATTGAGATTGATGGTCACTTCCTTCGTAAAAAGATCTTATTCAGAGTTATTACCACAAGTTTTGTCAATTCAAATGATCAACTAGAAGATGTATTTACAAAGTCTTTAAGGGGTTCTCATATTAATTACATATATGACAAGCTCGATACATGTGATTTATATGCTCTAACTTGAGGGAGAGTGTTAAATATATGTAAACATGTTATTTAGGGAAATAGTATCTATATAACTATAAGAATTAGGTAACCGTATATTTGTTCTTAACTATGTAGTTATGATTGTGATTGCTTTTTTTAATATAAATACACATCTTATGATGTAGTTGAGACACATGAAATTCATCTCATGCCTTCTCGTTTTCTCTCATCTTAACATTTATCAAGTGTAAACAGGTAATTTCATGTGTAATAAAACTATGAAAACAAACACATAAACAAGTGACAAATACAACTATAATTAACATGTAGTTTAATCCTTTAGCCAAAGAAGGTAATTCTCATTCCTCAATTAAGAAGGAATGCTCCCATATTTTGATGCGCCTTTCTCTTTTGTTTTTTTAGGGGGTAAGGGGGGAGGGAATGCATGTTACTCAAACAACCAATTGCTTTGAAAATATGGAGATGCAAAGGAGACATACTGGGTCAGATATTTTATCAATGTCCACTGTCCCTTCATAGGTTATATAAAAGAAAACATTATTTGTTGCAATAGCCTCTTTGCCCTGTTGCTTATACCTGCATGGTCCAACTCATTAATGTAACCAGATGTAAATTGTCAAAATAATTAATATAAATTAGAAATTTAGAAAGGAATGTTATAGATATCTATATTCAAAATGCAAGTTTATGAAAAATGAAAATTGTGAATATATAAGGGGAAGCTTTGAAGCAGGTGCATGTGCCAAAAGAAGGGGTAGAAACTGAAAAGTAGAGAAAGAAGACCTACCCAAATATGAGGTCAATCCACTCATGTAAATGAGAAGATACATACTCACTCTCTAGAGCCATCCTATGCTTGTGAACAAAATCAACTGGACTCTCAGCCCATGCAGGAAGTCTTACAGTATCTGGTATGGTAGAGGAGGTAAATCACAAGTAGAGCTATTAACTGTAATATGGATGTGAATATACTATGGTGTCTTAGAAAACCAATGTAGGAAATCTTAATGAGTATACCAAGCTTTCCTCCCAATTGTGTTGTTCCAAAATCAATTGAATTTTCATTTGTGAAGACCTCAGGGAGGTAAAATAGCTCAGGAACCTGAAAAGTTGATACAGAAAAAGCAAGAAAAAAGAAACTGCCTAAGGTAAAAGTTTCAATAAAACCATGATAAGCACTTGATATGTGAGTATGAAAAATATTTGTCCTCAAAGGACAACTATATCCTATCAAAAGGAGACAAAAGAATCTATTCATAGTACACAGGTATAGCATTAGATCGTTCTGTTGTATATTAATAAACATTTACCAATTCCTTTACATCACTCATGTCTTCAAGAACTCCATTCCAAGTAGCAGAAATATCAGAAAACATCCGATCTGCATGATCAAATTTTTCACCTTGCAGTTTGATTGCAAGGGTAGTGAATGGTTCAACCCTAACAAGATAATACAAAACCTGTAACAGATAAAATCAGCAACTAAAATGCAACCATTTTAGATGATAGCATTCACATACTTGGCAGTTGCTTCTATTGGTATTTGATAAGAACATAGAAAAACCATACATCATGTTGGTTTATTCTATGACTAGCAAACAAATGGAAAATATAATGTAGAAGACAATAGGAAACACCAATGATAACATCAAGAAATAAAAGAAAATAAGATTAAAGATCACAGTGTTTTAGCTTTATCAACTTTAGTGAGGTGTTCATCTTTGATTCTCTGTGTATTAGGACTTTGTTGACGTTACTTAAATGTAACCAATCTTATTTTTATGTCTTGAGCATTCATAATTGTATTGGTATTACTTGGAAGCTAAAGTAAACCATTTAGTATATCTGAACCTGATTGACAATTTAAACCAGCCTGGCCATAAAATGTATGTGGTTTTGCTTTAAAATTCATCTGTCCCAAAAACAACCAATACTCTCTCTGTTGAATGCCATAGGTTCAGATGATTGTATACTTGATGCTTCCAACATACTAACGGTGCAGTATTCACATTTTATTTATATTCATGGCAATTCTGGATAGGTGAGATTTAGATATCATTAAAAAAATTTAAATTGGGAGCATGTGTCAAAAAATCAAACTTCACATCAGCTCCAAGTTGACCCACTTAAAATCTATCTGGATCAAACCATTTGGAGAGCACTGATTTGATGAATAAACTCACAAAGTAAGAAAATAAACCAAAAAACCAGCATCAACAATCTACATGCATCACCTACTAGAATGTTACCATACTACTATAATCAAGAATGATCCAAATAAAAAGAAAAAGAAAAGAAAGGAGGGAACCCACTATTCCTGCACTAGAGTAGTGTGATCCATAATGGAATTTAGGAATGATGGGATCATCAAAGCTAGCATATCTCTCTTGAAATTTTTTCAGACGATCCGGGTTCAGTGCACCAACAGGCTGTATCAAATCAAAAGCATTAATTATTTTAAAAATATAAAAATACTTCCCCTTGAACTCATTGAAACAACATTCATGATAACCTTTGAAAGATCCCGATAAGAAGAGGGATTAGAAAGATCCAAGCTCTCTGAACTGTAATCAGAAAGAATCCAGGGGAAAACTGGATACTGCCAAAAATAATTAATGATAAACAAATGACAACATGAAGATAGTATTAAAAAGAGTTTAATGATATAAATCAATAAATTAATACGAAAGATCACCTGGGTTATATCATTATAACTACGCCCAGCCAATGTATTGAGTTGCATTAGATATTCAAAATTACTAATCTGCACAAGGGCATCACAAAGTCAATGTTCATAAGCAAAATTATATTAGAAACTAATTGTGTTTGGTTAGCTGTCAATAAAGATTATGTTAAATATAATTTCAAGAAAATCAATTTTGATTAAATTATATGTGTTCAGAAATGTTAATTTATAACTGATTTTAGAAAAAAGAGTTTTGGGCTGTAAAAAAGAATCATATTTTTGTATTAAATTACCAAACACTATATAGAATGATTGAAAATTTTGTTTGGTTGAGGTAAAAAAAATATTTTTCTCTCAAAGCTTTTGAAATAATCTTAAACAATAGTTATAATGCTCAAATTCTAGCATTTAGGTAAAAAATGTATTTAATGTGGGAAAACAATCAGCTTTTTATGCTTCAATCCAAAATAATTGCTTTTGTAGAAAACAGCTTAATCTTAGAAAAATATTTTTTTTCCATTATAATCAAGCAAATACAAGCATACAATAATATCTTTTAGGCTGCACTTCTTACCTCCCACCTAGCCCAGCGCTCCATAAGCTGAATTCTTTTCAAAAGTTGTTCAGGCCTCTGAAAAATAAATTATTTGTTATCCTAAGCCCAGATGCAGAGAAATTAACAAAGATGAAGCACAGAAAAGATCATACCTGAGTAGCTAAATATATATTGTTTAAATGAGGAGGTTGTGCGTGAACAATTGCTTGATATGCATTTCTTCTCCCCTCACTACTCTGAAGAGGAAGTTTTGGTAGGGTAAATAAGTTCTCAAATTATAAGTTTGCAACATTTAACAATCATAAATAAGATATTCAGAAATACCAGTCCTGAACATTATTACAATTATGAATGCAAATTGTATTCCTGAGAAATAAAAGGAAAGTGGCTCATTCAAGAATTAATACCCCAAAATCAAAGAAGAAGTTTGAACGGTCCACCATAAATAGCTCCAATGCACTTCTTCTAAGAAGATATCTGTAACAGGAACCAATTACTGACAAACAACTGAAAGCATACACCCACACATATAGAGAGTGATCAACTTATATTGGAGCACCCACTTTTACAATATTTAATAACTTCTATTGGATAATTTTATCCTAAAACCTACTATTAGATTAAAAGTTTCTATCGTATCGATCATATCTACAAAATTTTAAATCAATCTACAATTTTGATACCTCATTTATGTAAACCAAAATTAATGTAATACTTCTGAAATATATGAAAATAATAGCCATTTAACAATTTTTATTGTTGTTCAGTTTTTATGATGTCTACTTTATTAGGTCACTTATTATTGCAATTTAACTTGGCTCAGTTGGAAAGACCATTTTAGGAATATCCAAGTGCACCCTGAGTAATTTTCAGTTTATGTAATCCTTTGGTGCGTGAGGATGAAGTGTGCTCTTAAGGGTTTTCTTCGTTCCCAAGCTTGATTTGGTATAGAATTATGTTTTTACATTTCCCATATCTTACCAATGATTTATGGTAGATTATTATGGCATTGTTTGGTCCATGTAGCTGATGCCTAGCAGGAAGAGGCTTGGTTGTTTTATTGGATGTTCTACACATGGTTGGTTGAAGGGCATTGCAATCTCAGAATTTGAGATAGGAATCTGAGCTGCACAACAATGAGAGTTTGTCTTCTTGATTCTAATGCTGAGCTCTACTCCATCTCTAGCCTAAGTTTTCATTTTATGAAATAGAATTTTATTAGAGGAGGGACAAAGAGTGACTAGTGGGAAGAGAAAATAGGATATCCTCCTTAGCCAATAAACCAACAAAGTAAATGAAAACAAACTCATTTGCAAAAAATATTTTTGCAATCTGTTTGCATGCCCATCAAGGAGACGCTTAAAAGAAGCCATAAGCCAAACACCAATAAGACGCAAGGAAGACTGTCATGTCCAACAACAAAGTTCAGGAAAAGTAGAGAAGATTTCAGAACATTAATGAGGAAATAGATGTCAATAGAATTTAATGGTCAAATATTGGTTCTTATTAGAAGACTATTAGGCCATTTAAACCAGCAGATCCTGTATGATTGTACAGTTGTAATTATGTTAGTAACTCATTAATTAGGATACCCAGATAGGTATAATTAGATTAACTGTAATTATGTTATTATCTCTTTAACTAGGATAACCCAGCTGTAGGATAGCATTTGTAGAGGTGTAGATATTTTTCAAGTTGAATATTAGATTATATTACACTAATTATAGAAGAATTCTCCAGAAGGAAAACACACAGTTTTGACAGTTTTGACCTACATTTTCAGAGTTTAACAACCCAAAGCTAACAAAAAACTATTGTTAATAGACATATATAAAAACCATGCCAATGTTCAGCCAATAAATATAACATAATGAAAATGATAACAAGGTCATATAATGGAATGACAAGATAATAAATGGTCAACAAATGAATTCACCTTCGACTATAAATTTGATGAAGAGATGACATTAACCAACTGCGATCCTTTTCTTGGTCACCTGCCTCAGAGCCAAAATTCAAACCATCCATCGCAGTGCTCGTCTCAATATTATCAACTATAAAATTTATCCTCCTACTGGTTACCTACAAGACAATAGCAATTCACACTAGTGCAATTGAATCCATATTTGCCACAACAAAAATATCAGTGCTAATATTCAACTTATTTAACAAAAGAATTTCATGTATTTTGATTCTAGGAAGCACAAAATACCACAGAACAATGAGGTAAAGATGAAGGAGTAACAAAAGGCCAAGATGGGCTGAATATTTAAAAAACAAAATATTAATTGTGACCACCATGTTCATGTCTGCAAACAGTTTGCCATTGAAATGTCTCAGGCTCATAGGTCACATGTGGCCCATTCCTCTCGTGTTATGTTATGTATAGTGCACGCTAATTGTTCAGAACCAGCTCTACATCTATTCTTACAATGTACTGCTACTGTTTGTCTATGGAGCCTTTTGGGTGTTGGGAGTGCCCTAGGCCCAAGGACAATTTTTTAGGATGGCTTTCATGCCTTTGGCAGAAGATGTGTCAGCAAACCACACTTTTGTACATTTGGTTTGAGTGTAAATGGATAAAATTAGGCATTTAGCTTGAATTCGGTGTAAATCCAATGGTTTTTCAATACTTTTTGAAGGATTGTGCAGCCTTATTTCATTTATGTACTCTGATTTTTTTTTACCTCTTATTTAAATGAGGATTTCTTATCCTCCCAAATCTTTGTAATTTTTATCTCCCTAAATGAATTTCAGTTGAAAGGAAATATCTGAAATATAGTTCAGGAATTAATCATATGTATTTAGGTATTTACATTTAGGTATCTGAAATATAGCATAATCATATCATTCTCCCAAAGAGAAGTTATAACACAGTACTCCTTGCAAGCAATGGCTGATCAAATGGAAGCACTGCCCTCCAGAGGACACCACATGGGAAGATGAAGTTGTGCTGCTGAGCCAATTCCCTCTCTTCAGACTTGAGGACAAGTCTATTCTTCTAAAAGGGGAGAATGATAGAAGTCAAGGTCATAGCACTAATATCATTGTAAATACTAGAATGATACGAGTCAGGGTCATAGCCCTAATATCATTGTAAATACTAACTCTAACAAGGTCAAGCCTTGGCTACTTTACTCTAGGATAAAGAAATCCATTAATAATGACAGCTAGCATTTAGGAGTTATTTCTTTGTTTCAAGCCCTAGCTATAAATAGCAGCTGGGAGAGTGAGTTAGGGATCTGTTTTGAAATTTAGTTTCTAAACTTGGCAAAGAAAATTCTCTAGAGAGCATTGCTCCAGGGTACAGGATTGTACACTGAAAATTCATCAATTCAATAAAGATTGTCTTTTCTTCCCTCTTTTCTTGTAGACATAACACTATGACAGGACAAGTCATACAGAATAACTTATACAATGTAATGTTTACAGGAAAATAACAAGTCTTATCTCATTAGGTGAGGTTGGCTATATAGATTACATGACGCCATTGAGGTCAATCATTAGAAATATTATTTATCAATAGATATCTTTTTATAACTCCTAAGGTTTTGTCGTATTTCCCCTTACTTTTTATTGAACTAAAAGTCACATCATCCACTGTCTTCACTGGTACCTTCAATGGTTTTCTTTTCATGTGACAAAACCCCCTTAGACAATTTTCAATAAGTTTTTTTCAGTATAGGTACAAATCTAATATCCTCGCGTATATGATTATTTCTTATTATGTCATTTCTCGTGTAACCACTCATCCACCTTAACATTCTTACTTCACTAACTCTCACTTTTTTCTTTTGTTGTTCTTTTAAAGTCCAACATTCACAACATTCACTACCATATAAAAATAGTTGGTCATATTGCAATATGCTAAAACTTCCTTTCATCTTAATAGGTACATTAAGATCACATTAAGATCACAAATAACTTCTGACGTTTTTCTCCACTTTAAACACTCAACTTGTATTTTATGAGTGACATCTTCAATCATTTTTCCATCCTTTCATAGAATCATCTTATTTTTGCTAAAATTGAAATAAATAAACTCTATCTTGATTTTACTCGAACAAAAACCCTTATATTACAAAATCTCCATATATAACTCAAGTTTAACATTAACTTATTTTTTTATTCTTTAACCAACACTTATCCATAAAGAGCTTACACTTAAAGATAATCTTTTCTATATCACTCGTAAGCATATCCAAGACTAGATTAAACAAGTAAGAACCCAAAGCGGAGCTTTGATGTGAGTCCTTAGATACACTTCCAAGAGTTCTCACACATGTAGTTACCCACTCATACGTCTCGTATAGCTTAAATATATGCTACACAAACCCCTTTCTGTTTTAAAGCTTGCCACAACATTACTCTTAGTACATAGTTATATGTCTTTTTCAAGCCAATAAAAATTATATGTAAACTTTTTCTTTGTAGAGGTATTTTTCGTCAATTTTCATAAAAGATATATAACTTATGTTGTAGACCTTCCTGACATAAAGTTAAATTGATTTTCTACAATCTCAATATTTTTCTCGTAGTCTATACTTAATCACTTTTTTTGACAACTTCATAGTGTAACTCATAAGTTTTATCCCTCTATAATTTGTACAATTATGAATATCACCCTTGTGTGCATAGAGAGGGAAAGAAAGGAAGAAATAAAGAAAAGGAGATTGGAAGGAATAGCTTGAGTGAAATTGCTTTCTTATGTAGTAACTCCTTTATGTAGAACATTCAAATAAATAGATTAAGTGGGTATTATTATCTCCTAGGTGATCACAAGTAATAATAACATGACAGCTTAACAAGTTCTTATTTTATAAAAAAACAAGTCCATAAGCCAATATTCTTTTTCTTCTATAAGAAAACTAAAGATAGAAAAGAGAGGTACAAAACAAGAGGATAAAAATTCATCCATTAATTGCAAAATATTTTGAGCACTATTGAAACTACATCAAAACTACTTTGTAAGTTCATGATTATTTTTGGCATCAATCAAATTGAACTTGATCCAAAGTCAATCATTTTGTGTCCATTTTAAGATCAATTGTTTGGATCAAAATGAATACAAAATGATATAGACACATACCAATACTATTCTCATACTATATTCACATGAGTAGTATCATTAGAATAGTCTCAAAATTACTTTTAAATTAGACTATTAAACTTACTTGAAAAGTTCCTTGTAGAACTCTAAGTGGCTGGACCATTGACGATGGTAGCTCAATAACAATTCTTTCATCAAGCTCACTTGGAACATAACCAGGTGCAAAGGTTGAAGAACTTTGAACAACACCTCCACCACTTTCAAGTTGAATGGCATTAGAATTGGGAGACTCTTGTACAATTTTCTCAGCTTCTTTGGAAAATCTAAGTTGATTCTCTACTTTATCTTCTATATGATCAACCCTAACAGCCAAATTTTCATTTTCCAACTGTTCTTCATTCTCATTTACAGCCTCTATTGAGATTGCTTCTGGTGAAAAAACTGGAGTGCTCTGATCATTATTCTCCCCTGAATAATCCTCGTAGTTGGCAGCAGAACCTAAATGATCAGACCCCAAGTAATTCCTCCTCATACATCTTCTCATCCGGGAAGAACTTTCCATAAAATCTAGCTTCCAGAAAACCTAGAAAATTATAAAATAATCAGTATTGTGAAATGAATCATTAAAAGAATTATTTCATAAGATTTTAATATTAAAGAGCATGAGTTGGGTAGATAAGAAATCCTTCAATAACATCCCAAAAAGGAAAAGAAAACAGCAGCTCAATTCTTTTGCAAAACCAAAAGCTCCCTACATAAATGCCAGGAACACAAGTACAAAAAGGATAAACTAGTTGTTTTCAAATTCTAGGATTTTCACCCCAGGCATATACACCAAAGAATATCAAGGAACACACATCTTCCTAGAGCTTTTTTATGTACTCTTTAAAATAGAATTTGTCAGAAAGAGATGAGAAGCTACACACAATGCCAATTGGTAACAATGTAGACAGTTATATCATAACATACACGAGGCGGGAAGTACAAATGATCTGCAAAAGGACCAAAAAGACTTCTCATCTCAATTAACTGGCGAATAAGTTTACGCCAAGCACGAATGCCAGTGCTGATACGATGCCGAGATATTGTATCTACATGAGCACACCTGTCAATCTGCCAACAAAAGTATTTAACATACTGTATCTAAATATTATCTGAAAACCATAGTAAATATTAGCAGACAAACCTCAGACCGCTGCATATTCCGTGCTAGGGCAAGACTGGCAACAAGAACAGCAATAAATTTATATGACAAAACATTGAAATCTTTCTCATATACTGACTTTGTATCCACTGGATGCAGACATTCCATCCAGGCAACTCCCATTGCTTCAGTAATATTCCACCTATTAACCCGCTCCATATCACCAGCATTCCTTCGCTGTGCAGATGTAGCCATTGCAACAGCACTAAGACCTCTTCCAGAACCAACCCTTGAAAATCGTTGAAAATCACGAGCAGCTGCTGATGCAGCAGCTTTTGCAGCAGCTTTGTTCTTTGGTAGGGGGGGTATTTTGTTAGGGACTTCTAAAGGTTTTTGAAAGCTTGAAAATGTATGAAGCCGTGCCTGTTTTCGTTCCATCAATGAGGTTTCACGCCTAAGCTGAGAATTTGTTGAAGGAGCAGTTTCACCACCTGAAGTACCAGCTGCAATCATAGACAAAGCCATTGCAGCAGGTGGAGATGCAAAAACAGCAGCCCAGGCAGGGGATATCATAGCAAGGGCAGCCTGAAAGAAATGTCAGATGCATAATTAATTTAATGCACCAAAATCACATAAAGGAATAGAATATTAGCATCATATAGAAGCTCTTTTATACCACAAACTTTGTTGTACAGTAGTATTGGAGTGACAGGCAAAAATCCAACCACATTCCACTTTTTGACATGTAGCACCCAGTTAATGAAAAACTTGTTGCTCAAAGTTGGTAGCAAAAAGTTTTGTGAAAACATTAAAATAACAATATAGTGGAAAAAAACTTCTGTAGAAAAACCCCTTTCCATTTTCAAACGAAAGAGAAGACAATGCTTGCACATATGCATGACTGCATGAGTACATTAAAATTATAGTCTACATATGCAATTGTGTATCTATCATGCATGTACATATAAATGTTTCAGTTTGTGCACATATATAAACATAAGCAAATTAAACTACCTCAACTGGCAGGGCATCAGCAAATAGTGCACCATCAGCCACATTAAGAGGATTCAAACCATCAGCAGTTGCAAGTTCATGAATTCCGACCAAAATGGGTTGCCACCTCCTTAGTACAGCAATAAATGGTGGTAAAATAGCCTCAAGGTACCTTTTACGAAGAAGTTTTCGGTCTATGCTGACAGCATGGTATACCTGATAAGATATTGTATTTTGGTAAGTCTAATGATTGTGCACAAAGATAAGAGAAATAACATAATGTGAATAACAAAGTAAGCAAGAATAAAAATGATAAAAGAAGACAATACTAACCTCGGAATAAAGCACACAAGATGCTACAAAGACTCTTTGTTTCTTAGAATCAGAAATTGGCATGTTGAGAACAGGTGAGAGCACACTGTTAAATTAAAAGAATAAATAAATAACATCAACCAGTTGAAATTAGGTAAGGAAGGATAAAAGGAGACAATATGGACTCAGAATAAAAGTATATTTAATTAATATGGTATATTATGATGTGGTGATACAATGGACAAGCATAAACCCCTATTTATACCAGGATTAAGGTTAATTACTAGACTCCTAACCCAATCAAACAAGGAAACATTGGAAATATAGATATTTTAGGAAACATTGCTGAGTACTCTCATGTCAGCAATGAAGACTGACAACATGAAGGATGACATACCCCTTTAGGAGTCATAATTGGCAGGGGCTTCACTCCACCAACACTAAACCAATAGTAGCCCTTTCCCTTTTAGTGGCTTGACTCATCTATTAGTATTTGATATACTGATCCATTGGTAGCCCTGTCCCTTTTAGTGGATTTCTTGCCAATTAGTATTTGGTACACTGCACCTTAATGCAACCTATAGGCAGTCCTTTTGTAGACCAACTCTCAACAAGAACACCAAACAGATTTGCAAATGTAGAAGGCCCATGACCCATACTAGGGTAAAATAGAATAAGGCATGAACAAAACCAACAGAAAGAAGAGGAAACATTAGGGCAGGGCATCAAGAACAACAACAAAAAAAATGAGCTCAAGCGTAAGAGGTGCTCTAGTGATAGCATCGAGAGGGATGGTCAATCAGAAACTTTTGAACAAGATGGAGGTGCTATCATGAACACTTGAACCAAAAGAGATCCATATTGTAGGGAACTCAGCAATATTAGCAATAGAATATGTCATGGACGATGGTACTTCTTTGATACCATGTTGAAACATAAGAATTTTAGGTATAAAGGAAGAAGAGAGATAAAAGAGAATGAATCCCAAGTCTGGTATTAACTTTATTTTTCTTTTTTTGACAACAAATAATATTTTGATGTATTACAAATTTACAATGAAATATATGATAAAAACTAAAGCTCTTACCCCTATTTATATTAATAATTCTAACTCCATAAAGAAACAAATCATGAGATAATAGGAAATATGAAAACTAACAAAATAGAGAAACTAATCCTAAGAAATGACCTCTAAGATACCCTAAATATTATAGGATACAATTTAGATGTTATTGAATACTCTAAATGATTCTAAGATATAATATTGATATTATGACATATCCCAATCGAAATAGTTAACTTCTAGATAAGATAGAACCCTTGAAATAAGATAAGGTTCCTAACAAGATGAGATCCATAAAAATAAGGTAACACAATTGTCCCAAATATTCTTCTTATAGCCAAAAGTAGGAAGACTTTTAATCCTTATTTCTCTCCATAATACTATCCTCATTGTCTTTACAAATTTCCTTTTCTTTTTTCCAAAATAAAATATCCTTAAAATAACAAATTTCATAATCTATTATTATGCATCATTTTCTCCTTGCAAAGATATTTTACAGATTTCAAACATAATTCATTTGTAATACTATCAATTTGTTTCAAAATTATGTTTACAAACTATTTTACAAAGAGAGAAGAAGAAAAGGAAATTGCATAGATAACAATTTCCTATAATCTTATGTCCAAATAGATTTGTGTGAAATCAATGGCAAAGGCACAAGCAATGCAGCAAAAATATTGTACTATTGTAGACATGTAGGCAAAAAGGGCACGAATGATTTATATGATTTGAGTACTGCCAACATATATGGGCAAAGCCAAAAACCAAATATTTCACTAAGGAAATATGATGGAATCTACAAAAATGATCATACTTCCTTCAAACCAAACCCCGAAGAACACTTATTATCTCTCAGTATTTTGTCACCAATCTGTGTGTAAACACATTCATAACTCACAAAATATGTACAAAGACTTAAACATAGAAGGTTAAAGAAGTTGACAACAACAGAGTAGAGGAGATTTTAGGATAGTATTTGGTATGTCTCTGTTTTTAATTAATGGATGTATAGTGTTGTGACCCAATAATTCCCCATCAAGAAGCCCCTTTGTTTTTAGGCCATTTCACCCTCATTGCTAATTTGACAGATCCCATTCAATATGCTTTCATTAATAATTACGAAAAACATCATCTTATTTTCATTCTATTTCCTATTTCATAGTATTGAGAAGGAAATTTTTTCACCATTTTCTTTACAATAAATTTGAAAGTAAGAAACAGAATGAGATCACAAATATTAATGAAACATCAACTGAAAATGAAAACAGAAAACAAACCAAGAACTCCCTAATTTTTTCATCAGACTAAGATGTGAGTTATGTAATATTTATGTTCTGTTGTTTCAGCCAATTGTATCCATTCCTTTTTGCTTTAGTTTAATGAAATTTATTTTAAAATTTGAGAAATTCTATTTTTAGTACCTATATGTAAAAATGATAAAATTACAATGTATAAGTGAAAAAGTACATCTGATGTATTGGCTAACCATAGAGAAAAACAAGCTAATGTCAGCATAGCAACCTTGTGTGGAAATTTTCCATGTAATGATCCAATCAATTTCAAGGGGAATTTATAATTCAAGGATTAATAAATGGCTGGAAGTTAGTCGGATCTCAGAGGTTGCTTTACCTCCACAAAAGTCCTGAGCATTGTTTCCTTCCTTCAGGCATTGCATCCTCAATACTTGCAGTTTTCGTCAGCATATGTTCTTCCTCGTCATCATCTTCCCTCATCGATAGAAGAACCATCCGAAGCATACACAAGAATGGCTGGTCACTGTCTAAAAGCTGGTATAATGCAGTCATTGCTCCCATTCCAGTACCTGACCCTCCACCTATACCAAGACCACCACCATGCCCAGACTCATCTAGCAATAATGCTTGGAGCATTGCCATGGATTTCTTCACCAAAGGAAGCTCAACCCAGTAGCCATCAGCATCTTTCTCCAGAAAGCACTTCCAAAAATCCCATCCACTCCCACCACCACCAAATAAAGCTGTATTTGAGGGAAGCCCAACACCATACCACAAACGGCTCCTATATTTCCACCCAATAGCTAAATCCTTAGCACAGGAACCATATGATACAAAAGCACTAGAAACAGATTCATATGGATCAGCTGCAGCTGCTGCAGCAAGCCTTTCAATAACTGAAGTAGAGATCTGACCATTTGCATCAGCCATTGAAGAAAGGACCTAAAGGTTTGACTGCGTAAGTCTCACCAATATAGAAACAAACATATGCAAGACTAGGAGAGAAAGAAGGGGGCTATACAAATTAGATTAACAAGAATGAAAGCAAGCTAAAAGAACGGGAAAAAAGAAAACAAAATTGAAAGGACAAGAAATATGTTAAATTCAAGGTACCTGACCCAAAGTTGGAGATTTAAGGAGAAAATTATGTAAGCAATCTATTATCATTAATTTTGTATAGAAAAGGTTTACGTAGAATAGGATGGCATGCAACCATTGCAAGAATTATGGTGGAATGCAAAAACAAAATTGGAGAACAAAGTACTGTGCTTATGACACACAACATGTATGTGTGTATGCATACATCTATAGAGATTCCTCCAGAGTTGCTAGATGATGATGTGCGATCACCCATAACTTCTGTTGATTCTCCAATTGTTGATAGTGATGATGAGTTGTTATGGATTGGATAAAACAGAGAGAGGGGAGATGGAGAGCCATCTGCAGTACGTAAAGAAGAGGATTGTTTGCTCTGTGACCGTAAATGATCCTCTGCAAGCATAAGCATCACAATGGCATTCTCTGCTAAAGCCACAGACATCTGAGTAGCATTCTCAGCTTCTGCCTTTGCAGCATTTGGAGACAAACCTTCAGCTGCAACACCAGCAGCAGCCGCAGCAATGATTTGGGTCTGCAGTAAGGAAAATCTGAATGTAGAAATTATTGCGGTTTTTCTTCAGCTCTTTTCAACAAAAAACAAGATGTATAATTGCATTTGTACTTATTCTTGTAGATACAGATTTTTATTTGTAAGCATGCTTAGATATAAGCTGACAGATTTTATTTTCTAGATGAGAATACACATTAATAACCAAAATAGATTGATGGGGAAAAATAACATCAGAAGACAAAAAGGACAGCATTATCATGCCATGGAATAAAATGAAACTTTTTATAAGGAAAATCAATAATGATTGAAAACAATATGTACCTGGACCTGCAATTCTTTAGCAGCAAAGTCCAGCAAGCCACCCAAGAGTCTTCTCTTAAATATAGGTAATGATTCTTCACGTCTTCAAGACATGAACCAAGGAAGAATGATTTATGATCACATAAACCATGATAAAAAAATGATTATATCTTCACTGTAAACTTTTTTGGTCAAGAAAAGGAAATAATATGGTAGTATAGAAAGAGCCTGTAAGAGACTTCTCCAAAATTCTAAAAAAAGGAGTAAATGTCAGCTGAATAATAGTTTATAGTATTCTTATTCAAAGAACAGCCCATTTGTTATCATTAATACGACTAACATCACTTATTCACACCTGTTCTCAAGCATGATTTTTCCTCTTTGGGCTCCCTGTCAATCATGTGGAACATAGATCCCTGCTGATTTTCATATTTCCTCATCAAATTCAGGTGTCTACAACTTTTTCAATTTTAGAACCAACACCTGATTTAAACTTCAGTGGAAGTTACAATTTTACAAAGGTCCATAATATCTTTAAATTTTAATTCAGTTAACCTTGGGAGTTGGGACTACCTTTAGAACCCTGGCACATATATTGCCATGATATGCTGTGTTTCAATTCCAAATCATTTATTTTCTTTCCCATTTATATTCTTGGTTCCTAACAGATATAGTGTTTAGTTCAGAAACAATGTCAACCAAGTAACAAAAGGAACAGAATACTATGCTGAATGGCTGGATGCATAGTAGTAGAAATGGAGAAGGGAATTTGATGAGCACATAATGGGCCCATAAACTCACCTAATTCGCTGTTCTCCTGTACTAGATCCACCTATAACAGAAAGCCATTCTGCACAATGAATTGTTGCTTCAATATCCTACACAAATTTAGCAACAGTAAGCTGTATGAATGAACCTGATAAAACCAGAAATCAGGCAACCAAACAAAATAGGAATTCCAGAAGACAGATATTACATGGTGACTAAAATATTCCGCAACATTCATCAGTCAATTACTGCACCATATAGAAACTCTTGACAAATTAAAATATCATAATTATGTGATGTGATATGTCAGATATGACAAAATATTTTAAAATTTATATTCAGCTAATTCTGATATATTTACTCTGCCCACAGGTTTAGTAAATATTTCCAAAAATGTTTTCTTAATCAGATATATTTTAGCCACTTTGGCTCCCATTTATTTGGTTTTTTTGCTTGCTTTACATCATGGTGCTACCACCCCAAGCAGTATTTTTCTTTATATCTTTTCTATTGAACCAAATTCTTTTTTTTATTAAAAAGAAAAATAAAATGAAAAAAGAAGGATCTTTTGTATGTCTACATGCCATATGAAACCCCACAACAATCAAACATTATCTTGCAAGGCAAGGTCAGCAACTTGAATCAGATGACCCATCAAGCTCCATCAAAAACCCAATAAAATTCCAGCAAAGCAAATTTTTTTTGCAAATTCATTTCAAGCTCAAGTCTCGTGTAATATTTTGACACTCAATAGTTACAACTCCAGCCAAAGAAACAAAGAATTAAAACATAAATTAACAAGAAACAAACTATTGCATAAGCTGGGTGTGGACAAGATATCATGAAAGTGCATCACCTAAAAAAGGAAGTAAATAATTCTAAAAAATATCAACCTTCCATCCATCCTTTCCGCGCATTGAATGCTCTAGCATGATGATAAAGAATTTATGTATAATGTCCTCTATGTCCCATAGGCTTGTTGAATCGGATGTTTTGCTTGGACCCAACTGTCAAAGCAAAGAATGTAAGTAGCATAAATAATAACAATACACAAGAAGTTGATGAGTATTCATGCACACATAACTACTTTTAGTTATTTTCTAAGTAGGTCTGACTTTTCCCATATCACTAATATTAGAGTATACAACTCGGTTGTATTAGTTTTGTATTTTTTTTGTATTAGTTTTTCTCATTTTTGGCATTCTGTTTTAAGGTAGAACTAATCTAATAGATAAGTTATTAGTTGGTTGCAAAATCTGTTATGACAACTGTATATTGTCTTGGAACTCAAAGTTCCAACTATATATTTCTCTTTGTAACTGATTCAAAGTTAGCTTTTAAGAATATTATTGAAAAACTCTTAAAACAGTTTCTTTTCTTCTTTCTCCCTTTTCTCTCTTTCTTTTCTTCCTTTCTTGGATTCTTTTATGGTATCAAGAGCTTGTTTCGATCCTTAATATTTTTTTTCTTCTCCTTTCATGGCTTCCGCAACTAATGATGACACTTGTCCACTGCCTCCCACGCTGCCCACACCACCAACTACTCCGTTACCTGTTCCGACCACATTTTCCCATACCATCACCGCTAAGCTTACTGATTCAAATTACCTTCTCTGGCACTCACAAGTTCAGCCAGTCATCAAAGTCCATGGCCCACTCAGTTACATTCTTGGTCCATAACTTCCTCAGAAATTTGCTTCAGTCCAGGATCGGGATTGTAATATTCTTACACCTTAATATCAGTTCTAGGAGCAACAAGATCAATTGCTCTTTTCATGGCTTCAGTCAACAATCTTTGAAACAGTTTTTCCATGGTTTATTCACTGCTCCACGTTGTAGCATCTCTGGGACAAGCTTCATGAGCATTTTCTTTCCATTCCTCGTGCAAAGAAGAAACAAATTCATGGTGAGCTTCGTACAATTTCGCTTAATAATCGCAGAATTATTACTTATCTCCTTCATATTCAGACTTTACTTGATTCTTTGCTCTCCATTGGTGATTTGGTTTTGCTGAGTGAACACAGTGACATCATTCTTGATGGACTACCAGATGAATATGACACAGTGATTATGATTCTTGGTTTGAAAATGGAACCTCTCACTCTTGATGTTTCTTCGCTGCTTCTTGCACAAGAATCGCGCCTTGAAAAGTGTGAAAAGAACACACTTAGTACTGTGAATGTAGCTGAAGGTAACCCATCTTCCTCCTAAGATTCTGCAACTCAACCCAATCTCCCCCACACTTCCAAGGAAGTGGTCGTGGTCGTGGTCATGGACGTTATGCTGATGTCCAGTGTCAAATTTGTCACAAGTATGGTCATAAGGCTTCTTTTTGCTATCACCCCCTCCCCAATTTTCCAATTTTTCATTTCCTCCACCATCTCATGTCTACCTTTATTACTCTTTCTTTACTCCCTTTATGTCATCTTATTACTACCCCTCATCTTCTCATCAGTCTCGACCTACCTCACCCAGTCCCCAAGCCAATATTGCAAGTCTATCTTCTGCATCTGCAAATTGTTAGTACCCTAATTCTAGTGCATCTCATTATGTAACCAATGTCTCTCAGAACATTCACTAGGTCACTCCCTTTGCAGGCCCTAACCAAGTCACCATTGGAAATGGTCAAGGTCTAGACATTAACTCATCAAGGGTCACTTCCGTTTCTTCTCCTTTTAATAAATATGTTCCTCTTTGTCTTAAGAATATTTTGTTTGTCCCTTCCATTACTAAGAACTTACTAAGGGTCAGTCAATTTTGCAAAGACAACTCTGTGTTTTTTGAATTCCATCCTTCTTTCTGTGTTGTCAATTCTCAAGCTTCTAGGGAAGTACTTCTTCAAGGCACAGTGGGACACAATGGTCTTTATCACTTTCCTAACCTGCTTCAGCATCTGTTATGGTGCCTCGCACTGTTAATCTTGTTGTTTCTAGTTCTATTTCACATTCCTCGGTTGTAAATGTTACATATACTAGTAGTGATTCCTACTCTATTTGGCATTCTAGACTAGGTCATCCTAGTTCTGAAATACTTAAAATTGTTCTCAAAATGTGTAATGTTTCTTCCATCAATAAATTTGAACTTGATTTTTATTCATATTGTTGTCTTGGTAAATTCAATAAACAAACATCCTTTCCCTCTAACTCTGTTTACTTTACACCCTTTGAATTGGTTTATACTGATCTTTGGGGTCCAGCTCCCTATGTTTCAGAATGTGGATACAGATATTATGTTACTTTTGTTGATACCCGTGCTCGCTTTATTTGGTTGTATCTATTGAAATACAAGTCAGAAACACTTGGTGTGTTCAAACAATTTCAAAGTTTGGTTCATCCACAAATTTACCCATCCATGTATATAAATTTAGTATAATGAGTGTAAGACATTCGAGCAATTCACAGAAGTCTCTTTAGAAATTAGTCTCAGTTATAAACAAAGGGGATGGCATATACAGTTTCCATGGACAGAGAAATATGACGCATGAACTTGTTAACAACGAACGAAACCATTCAGGTGGCTTCCAACATGGCCCTATTGGTTAGAACGTCATTTGCTTTATTTGTTATTGGCAACTGTCTCAAACAATATTTTTTTCTCCCTGCAACACATGATCACCAAAATCCACCTAGACAACCATGTGTTTTATTTTAATTGGTGAGTCATAGTCAGAGTTTACTTGTATAACTGTTGAATACACTTAGATGTGAGTGAAATAAGTGTGTGCGTGTGTGTGAAATTTTATTGAAGAGAAATGAAGGATGGTAAAGAAATAAGAACCTTGTCAATTATTACCTCATAGTTTGATATTAGTACCTCCAGAATCCATTCAGGCCATTCTTTCATATTTGTCAAACTCTCTCTATTTTCAGGATGACTGCATGCCAAAAATAGAAGATCCTGGAATCATACACAAACAGGGAGCTCAAAACTAGGGGTGACAAAACAAGTTCTCCAGTAGGAAATATCAGCATAAATGGAACTCCTACTTTATCTTTCTTATTTCCATAAATAGACATTCTATATGGCACTGACATGCACATGCACATGCACTACATTCATTAACTCTAGCACAAGTACTTAAGGCTAAGACTTGCAATAAACAGAACTTCTTTTATAAGACCAAAATGAAATGAAGAACTAAAGAATGAACCTTGAGATATAGCCAACATGTGTTAAATCCCTTAATTTGATAAAAGAAGAAAATATAACAGAAAAAAGGAAAGACTACAGAGGGAAGGGAAGAAAAATTATTCTCCACTCATAGAGCCACAGAGGAAAGTATATTGATACAGAGAAACATCAAAACAAGATTAATCCAGTCCCTCTGCACGTCTGCCACATTTACTAAACACCAATAGAGGAGCAATCATGCTTTAGAAAAAGAGAAAAATGCAGTTGATAAGAAGCTATCATTTTATCAAGTCCATACTCAGCCTGTCCATGCTTTAGAAAAAGTGAAAAATGAAGTTGATTTCTATGTTTCACTATAACCTTTCAGATCTTGAAATAATGGCAACCCCCCACCCCAAAAATAAAAACATGAAGAAATGTGTAACAAGAAACTCAAATGCATAAGCAAGTGCTTCCATGAAGAAGTAAATTGTAATAATAAAATCAAATACATAAATCAAGCAAGTGAAAAAACAAGATACTGAAAAAACCTCAGAAAAGATAAAATACAATGGACTAATATTACACATGCATATTATAGAAAAATGAGAACTGTTTTGCACTTTTGCTAATACCTGTAGTGCTCGGCTCTGCAGAGGCCTAGGTGCAAATGGAAGGGAATGCAAAAGTACCAATAAAAGTTGTGAATGCTCAAAGCGAAGACCAGAATCATGTAAGTTCATTCCATTCTCTGTTGAAGAAGCATTGATCTGAAATGGAAAGAAAGAAAACCAAAAGAAACATGGAAAAATAAATCAGCTAAAGAAAATAAAATTTCTATTTTAGCATCTTGCTCAGCTAATCTGTGATTTCAGGTAAGATCAGTTTATGATCATGGGATCCTTTTTCTATCAAAAGGAAGGGCTTTTTCACAAAATGTACTTCCAAGTAATTGCTAAATAGATCCTATATCTATCTATATGAAGAAGAAATCATGTCATGAGGGGGATTCTTATTTGTATAAATGGTACTTTGAACTTGGAATGAGCATGAAAAAATTAGCAACACTTCTTTATTTGAGTTGTTCAGGGGTTTCCTCAATACATGATGAAAGGGGCTTCAAGGCCTTGCTTTGCTGTATTATTCTGCTACCACGATAGAAGGAAGGTTGTCATTTACATTAGCACATTATCTTTTCCTTTCAATTAATAAGCCTCCTCTTTACTTAGAAAAGAAAAATTACCAGTATATGAAAAAACGGTCAAGAAAACCTTATGAACACTATAAAAAAAGAGGCAGATAAAACATGAAAGAATGAGATGATAGCATTTGAATAGAGAAATGCATCATTGAAAAATTCTTCTCGGCAGAAAAGATTAAAAGCATCCTAATTTGTTTTAAGTCATTTGTTGCCAAATGGATATTTCATAGAGGATCATTACAATAGCAGCATAAAAAGGATTGAATTCAAATGCCCCCGACAAAGATTAAAATGAACAATCATAAGCAAATACAAGGCAAAGTGCAACATTAAACAAATTTCATAACCATGAAAGGTGAGACTTGAACAATATTTATACATTTAATCACATAAAATATGGACATGCATAACAACAAACAAGATAGAAAGAGAGAATTTGCCAATTTCATCTGGTAAGTGTGCATAATCCATAAACACACAATGTCAATAACATGGATAGCATGTACATATTCCTAAACAAAAACATGTTCTTGTCCTCAAATATCTACACAGACTTGGAACAAAAACCTATAAGCTTATATTGGCTAAAAAAATAATCTTATACAAAATAAAGCATGGGCATTGCAATGACATTAGGCATATTGGCACTTTTATAAAATAATAAATATAAAAAAGCAAAATCAGTTGCCATTTTCTAAGTAGTAGATGATTAAATGCCATTAATATGCATGCCTCCATCAGTGACAAGGTAGAGGGAGTTTGTCATACCGAGGCTGCCAATAAAGCTGTGTAGACATTGTCTGTCATTAGCCTATTGGGTGCTGCTTGGAAAGCCTTTTGTAAGGCATAAAATAGAAGAGAAACCTTATCATCAAACATTGTACTACCTCCCTCATGCAGTCCAATACCCAATAGGTTGCTTGTTGTATCAGGACCTGCATGAGAACCAAACCTCAGATGCCCAGAAGCTACTAAAGCACCCAAGACACCTATAATCCCAACAACAATACCATCACTTTTATCAACATTATAAACATTTTTTCTAGCACTGTCAGCACTAATAGATAGACTTATGCCTCCCAAATTCTTGACAGATGGAATTTCAGAGGTAAATGGCATCCTTTCAATATTCACATCAGGAGAACCCAGATCAATGTTACTGTCACTATCAACAGATTGAGAACCTTGGTCGTTGTCTTGTAAGGCTCCAATTTTCCCATCCAATCCTTCGCAATCCTGACATGTTTGTGCAATTTCACTGCTACCATCAGATTCACTTTTCTGAAATTCAGGACACTTTGACAACGATTCCAAAACAACACTTTCTCCAGCTTTAGCTTCTCTTTGGAGCAGAACAAGAAGTATTTCTATCCCACCACATGCTAGGAATGCTTCTACAAATGAGTGAGACCTAGCTATATTTGGCTGAATGACCAACCTGTAGAAGAGATGTAACACCCTAGCAATCTGGAAAATAAAGTAAATAGTGTAAAATTGTCTTTCGATATAGACAACTGAGACATTTTTAAAAATGAAACCGAACATTATAAGTTCATATTAGATTTTTCAAATTTCAAAATAAGCCACTAAACTTGAGATTAGTGATAACCACAAGCAGAAGATGTATATTACTTGTGTTCAGACACAACAGAAGATGTATATTACTGGATCTAATTTAGTTATTCAAAACATAGGCATTTTAGTAGTTAACAGCTCATAAAATTAGATCCAGTAATTCTCTATCATATGACAGTTAATTGAAGACCAAATAAGAACCACAGAAACGTGGGACAAGGATATTCTATTATAAGAAATATGCACTTTGGAATGACATTGTATTTGTGTGCTCCATGTTAGAATCTTTCCTGAGATTATTTTTTTTAACAAACAAAGAAAATGAATAAAAGCACCCATCCCACTACATACCTGACCAGGTTGTGGACAGTCAACCATGAACCTAAGTAAACACCGGACATCATTTGTGACCAATGAAGGAGAGGCTGCCACTACTAGAAGTTCAATTACCACTAAGAGCTCATCGACCAAAGCATTGACTTCGCCTATCAATCTTGTTGCTCCAGTTATAGAAAAAGTATTCACAGAAGCTTTTTCAGCAACAGTCCAATAGCATCTTCTACATCCATCAAGAAGCATTTGAATGGCATTGGCTTCTCGCATCACTACTGACTCGGTGAAAACCATGTCAGAAAGTGATGATAGAAGCTTCTTTTGTATTCCATAACTACATAAGCTCCAAATTTTTAAATCCAGCAACAATGTAGAAAAGAGCTGCACTTTAAGCATATGGTTGATCTTCTGAGATTGACAAAGCAAGACAACTGCAGCAACAAGTTCCTCATCCCCTACACCATCATGTTTTCCATCACAAAGTGAAGATAGGGTTTGAAGAAGATAATTTAAAATCTTTGAAAGAACCTCAGGCCCTCTACAAAGAACCAACTCTTCATTGTTCTTTGGATGTTGAATAGCCGCTGATATAATTCGAAATATTGGACCAGCAAGAGATGCAGTGGCTACAGACAAAGAAAAACTCCCTTGTCGTGGTTCTAGAGTATCCTCATGTACATTGCTTATTGCTAAGGGAAGCAAAGATAAAGGACCACCATATGCCAAAGCCCACAAAGCATCCACAGGTCTAATTCGTGTAGCAACATGGACTTGCCCAAGAATCTCTGCTGGACGTCGAAGTATTCCTGAATCATAACAAAGGAACCAAAGCAAGATCAGACAGCCATGCAACATATTTTACATACCTTGATGCATAAAAGAAATTTATGGTATGAAAGTAAATACATGAAACCATTTAAAAAAACTTAAGAATCTAGATTTTAAATCCTGAAATATTTTCATATAATTATTTCCTAAGACGGATTTAGACTTAATAGCTTATCTATAGACATGATTTACAAAACATGGCACACGACGTTGATCATGCATACTTAATGTGACATGTCAGCATTTTGCCATGTTGACGGTAGCTCAAAAGACTAAATGATGGGCCCGTTAGTTAAATGAGTACCTGCGAGTTTTTATAATACCTTATTAAAAATATAAAATTACAAAAAAAAAAAAGCTATTATCAACCATTCACGTAACACTAAAAGAATAATCAAAACATAACCTCAGAGTTATTAAAGTTAGAGTTATGTTGTTTTTTATTTTTATATAAGCGATAATTTAGTAATTTTATCTGTAAACGGGTACCCACAGGCATGGATATCTCATTACCCAAACCCGTCCCATTTAATTAACGGGTACCATTATTACACCCGTGGGTGCCTAATTAAAAACCCGACCCGTATTACTCTGAGGTGTGGGTTTTTTCACCATGCCCAAAAATCAACTCAAAATCTTATTAAATGATCTTTATTGTACTTTATCAATTAATTAGATATTTAATCTATAAAAAATTTCTAAGCATATCTAGTCTTTTTTCAATTGTAACAAAAAGTCTTTGTTACATGTAAATTATTCTTAATACTTTATTAACTATAATTATGATAGTAGCCAAAAAAAAACTATAATTATGATTTTTTTAGATTTATATATTTACCATATCAATAAATACGTATGATTTTGAACTATAAATAATGATCTTTGAGTTAAATATATGAGTTTGTAATTTCTTAAAAATTCATTACTCTTTTATTTGGTACCTTATTTTTTCTAGATAAGTCTATATTTGATTTCTATAATTAACACTTATTTATAAATTAATTTTTACACTTAAAAAAACTTGTTTTAATTCCTGTATAGGTGTTTTGTTATGTTTTTGTTCCTTCTATTATAACACCGTTAACTATAAGGACTAAAACAGAAACGATAGTGATCATCAAATCATTGCAAAGCACTTATACAGGAATTAAAACATAACTTTCTAAGGATTATTTTGTAAACGGGTATCAATCATAGGGACTAAATACTAAATATATAATTTAACCTAAAAATTTATATAATATAAGAAAAATATTTTTATTAAGAAAAATACTTTAATAATAAATTAAAATGTTTTGGATTAGTTTTAATTTTTTACAATTACTTTTAATATAATCATTATTTTTTTCTGCTCTTTTTCCTAATCATCCAAACAATAAAGAACATTATGTTCATCTCTTTCCTACTTATTTCAACCCATCTAAATATTAAAACTTTTCATACTCTCTATTTTCACTTAATTTTTTACTCTCTTGTTTCCTTTTTTTTCTATTTCTTTCTTCTTTATTTCATCTCTCATCTAAACAAAGTATAAGATCAAGTCATCTATGATCCAACAAGCAGTGTCATAAATAAAAAATGACACGAGATGCAGAGAGCCAGCTGTGATCATGAAAATTGGCTTAAACGATGAATATTAAGGAGGAAAGAAGAGTTAGAATCTAGAAAGGAATGGTGCTTAAGATTGTATCAGCCTCACTTAATCTATAGTGTGCAAGGCCTAATGATAAAATGGATAAAGAAACTGAATACCGTAAATCAAACACACATTATATAATATCCTTGCAAGACAGCTATATAATGCCTGGCCAGCTAAAAATAAGTTAAACGTCAAAGAATTTGACTATTTTAGTAACTCGTTAATTTCATTAATAATCATTGTAAAACCTTTCTATTTTGCATGGCCATTGTTCTCTACAGAAAGATGAAATTATATTGTCTTCTAAAAAGAAATTGTTTTCTTAGAAGTATTACCATCCACTTTTTATTCTTAAAACAAAAAATGAAACCTAGTTTCTTTTCAAGCATGGATAACTGAATTTAATGCAAAGTCATAACTCCAGGTGATTCTCAAAATCCAAATAGTTGTTCAGCTATATGTTGAAAGAATAAACAAGAAACTTGCAGTTTAGATCAAAGAGACATCTTTCATTCAGCATTGAAGGATTTAAACCTAGATTTCTAGATGGATAGGATAGGGTATTCATATATTTGGGTCATAATTTAAATATGTAAATTTATCCTCAAAAAAGGAAAAAACGGAGTGAAATGATTGGAAATTATTATAAGATTTTATGATTTTTTTCCTCTGCTAAGGAAGAGTTAAATTGTAGGGAAAATGGAATTTCCAAGTCAGCAACAAAATAGAGAATAAAAGAAGAATTACACTGGAAAGTATCAATTTATAACCAAACAAATTGTTACTGCTGAGTGAGAAAGGAAAACCCTTCCGTTACTTGTATTGTAAAACATTCCATTTCCATCCCAAAAAGTTGTAAAATTTTTCTAGTTGCATCATATAAATCTTCAAACAAAACTAGGATTATTTATCAGGCGTGAGGGATGTTTTTGCATGAAAAATCAACATGTACTTGTGCAACAGAAGAAAAATTTATATATTACCGTAAAATCAACACCCAGAAATTATCTGACCTGCAGCACCAGAAGGGGAAGCATCTGGACAGAAACGCCCATTAAGCAAACAAGGATGATAGAGTAGGTGAATGAAATCTCCAATATCTGCATCTAAAAGAACACTCTCCTCTGCCTTGCTCTGTACATGGGCATTTGTTGCAAGCCATGGTAGCCCTGCTGCGTTACCAAAAGAAGGTACTACATCTCCTCCTCTAGAAGCCAAGCGTGCCATCCTTTCTGGGCCAATTGGTTCCTTGAATATGTAAACAGGGCCCATCTCAGCAAACAAAGGGCATTGACGGCGACGGCGTTGCAAACCAGCCATAGTAGGAGGAGGGTTAGTTCCTATGCAGCAAAATGAGAGGGGTTTGAAAATCCTAGGAAACTCGAAAGGACGAATTTCATATAAAGTACCATCTACATATAACCTAATTTCATTTTCTGCGTTCCCAAGAATTCCATGTTTGCTGGCGTGCTCAAGACCAATGAAGTACCAGCACTGTGGTTTGAATGGATATGTAAAATGTAAAGCAGATCTCTTTCCCTTTCCACAACCAATTTCAACAACCAAAAATTGAGCGTGAAAATAAGCCTCTATACCATGATTATCAGCAGATAAAAAACTGAATAACCGTGGCATGTGTATGGTACCTTCAGCAGCAAGTGCACTAGCTGCTGCAGCAGTTGACATAGCTGATGATTTACCTGACTTAGCTGATGCAGCTGCAGCAATTGCAGCAGCAACTGTAGCTGTATTTAATGCGTCCGCAAATGATTCAATGTAGATCCAAGTTGCAAATCCATACCCATTGATAAATGGCCAGCGACTCTCACCTGGACCGAGCAAACCAGAACTTTCACCATCAAACTCAAAAGTGCAAGCCGGTCCCCAAGATTCTTTTTCACTTATTGCTTTTTCCATTGCAAGCATCAAGCGTGAAGCCCAAATTGTGGTAAGCGTCCTTGTAATGACTTGAAACCATCTATGAAGATCACTAACATTAAGAGAATGCCCAGCCAAGTATTGTATGCAGTGGCACAAAGGAGTTCCATCCCACCTTATTTGCCCATTTAAGCCAACATCGACTGTGAAAATTTTTTCTGCTGTTCTCAACAGCACTCCTAACAGACCAGCCATTGAGCACATTTCTCTGTTTCTAGTGCACGCCCGTAATATGGCAAGTAGTCCCCTAACCATTCGTGTCCTAGGAGACATTAGAACATCAGAATCACCTGCATAAGGAAGCCAAGGAATCAGTTCGCCTGCCACAATGGCTGCCCGAGAGTTCAGCATTACACTAGGAGGATTATCACCATCTTCTTCAAAACTTTCAACACCACCCATTGTCGCAAGAAGTGAATCTACTATTAAAAAAGATGCTCTCTCCATTTCTTCACCACTCCCAAAAGTTTCTACACCGCTTGCAATATTCTTCAGCTTCTCCATACCTTCAGGTTTCCCCATGATAGCAGAATCAACTAAATGCAATAATTCTGCAGACATATCTCGCATGGCATTTTTATGCCTAGGCTTTTGTGGAGAAGTAACAGGAGAGTAAACAGGTGAAGAAAAACTAAAAGATGAAGCAGACTGCTTGTTTGTATGACTTAAATGCCCCTCTGAATTACACTCTGTTGAATACATCCCAGATGAATTTTCAAAATTCTCTTCATTATCACCAACTGGGGGCTGTACATTATCTGAACCCAAAGGTAGGTTTGAATCCACATGCTCATCATTCCTCCCTTGATCTTTCAAAGATCGCTCAAACTGGTCCTCATCCATCATTGTAGTTACTGAATCAATCCCATGTCCCTGTAAATGTTCCCTTTTATTTGCCTGTTCATCCCCCGTGTCACCGCCAGCTTTTACATTTTCCTTCTGAGGACTCTCAACAACTTGTGCCACATCACTATCCATCACTTCACGACTATCTGATTTATTATCAGATATTTTTATCTCTTCCTCTCTTCTTCCATTATACTCTCATCAAAGAAGCTAATAAATATTCATTCAAATAACGGAAACTCCAATCCACCTGCAAGTAACAAAATTAATAATTTCTCCAGCAATTTCAAAAAAAAAAAAAAGCAATAACCAAAATCAAGAGACCAGAACATGTAACATTTCAATACGATAGCAAGTGCCTGGCAAAGAAATCAACTACATTAACCGCAAAAACATTAAATTACAAATAAAAACCAACTAAACACACAAGAGCATTCTTAAATCTACAGGACACACAATTTTTTTTTTATAAAAAAAACCAATAGTTAAAAATTGCACAGCTATTGATCATTAACTGACAATATGAAGAAATAGAATCCCCTGGAATGGCCTCTCACTCACATTGCGAGAAGAAAGCAACACAAAAGAGATTATTCGATCGCATGAAAAGTGGAAACATTTTAATGCAAAAGATAACACTGATGATGAGGAAATTGGTGAGGAAAAGCAAATGGATACCTTGGAGTTGGTGCAGAAGAAAGCAGCAGCGAATAGATCGAAAGTCTCCAATGGAAATGAGAGAGAAGGCGAATTGGGCGCGCGCGAAAGAGGGTGGAATTGGGATTGGGCAAAGTAATAACTATAACTAACTAACACCCTATTAGTATTTGCCCGCGACTGTCTCTGTGGTGTTGCCCAGTCAAATATCAAATTTTCAAAAAGCAACTTCGCATGATATCACTATTGCGCTCGTTTTGCCTTTTCTTTTTTCTTTTTTTGAGTCTTTTTGCCTTCCACCCTCTCATTGTTTAGTTTTTCAGAAAATAATAAAATTTGAACTGAAGAAAAAGTAAAAGAAAGAAATTTCAATTTTATTTTTTAATTTATTTAATAAAATATGTATTGCTGACATATGGAAAGTCACCCGTTGAAAAGAAAATTATATATATATATATTGTACATGTGTGTAAACATAAAAAGTATCATTATTTTTTTATTATGCAAAAATCATATTTTTAATAATTTAATTTAATTGATTTTAGATATAAAATATAAACTTGTACAATTTTGACAAATTTATGAGTTGATGTATAAAAATTTATTTATTAATAAATACGAAGTATATTACAACATGAACAGGAATTTGTTCAAGTGATACATATTTAATTTTCCTGTACAAGATCTTAGGTTCAAAATTTGAATATGAATTAAGTTTAAAAAATTTTAATAAGTAATTAAAATTTAATAAAATTTGAAAAAATAAAATATTATAATTATTAATGATAAAAAGTTTATTATATTCAATAAATTTAAAAATTGAAATTTAATATTTAATTGAAAATGGATATATAATGTAAAAAATACCACTTGCTAGGACAGCAAAAAGAGAGAGAACTATTTTCTAAAAACAATCTTATTTGAGAATACTTCTAAATAAAAGCCTCTGTTTAAGAATTATCTTAAAAATTATATATTTTAAAATTATATTCACAATTATTCAACGAAATTGATCTATAAAAAAGCAAAAAAAATCGGAACTTAATTAGGAATGGTTGGTTGTATATAAATGGGTTACTATATTAGTTATCTTAAAAATAATAAGTTTACTGTATTATGCATAAATATATTTTTATGGCCTTGTTAATTTATTATTATTTTTTTGCTATTACCTCATTATTTTTTTACTAAAATAAAATTTGACTTTCTTATAACGTTGTTTTTCTAAACTTAACATTTTACTTTTTTTTTTTTTTACTCATTATCACAAAAGCAAATTCCTTTTTATAAAGACAAAACTCAACACACATTGTTTATTTTGATATATTAATTACTTTTAAAATCTCAAAATATTATTTTTAAAAAATATTAGTTTTATCCCTTCTAAGAAGGAGAATTTTATTCATTCGTGAAGTCAAAATTTGAAAACAAAACAGTTTAAAAAAATAGATACAAATTAATTTTAAAAAAACATGTTAATCTTATTTTAAATGTTGAAAAATTACTAATATATTATTATTATTATATATATATATATTAAAAATATAATAAAATTTATAAATATTAGTAGTAGTAACTTAACTTTATTCTTACAAATACAAAAATTCTTAAAAATAAAAATATTTGTAATTTGTTGAAATTTTAAATAAAAATATTAATAAATCTACATTGTAAAGTGTTGTTATGACTTATTTTTGTATGTTTGAGGATATTACTTTGATTTATTTTCTAATTTTTGAATATTTTTACAAATCAATGAATTAAGGAAGTATTTTGATTACAATTAAAGAAAATTTGAATGAAAACATAATTGACCTTGTTTGACAATTAGTTTGGGAGAGTTGACCATACACGGTCATACTATAGAATATGCACGTTTGTACTTTTTCATTAGTGTAACCAATTTAAAAACTTTAAAACGACTCATGAAGAGAGAATTTAAACTTTAAATTCGATAATAAAAATTTAGATCTTGTTCTCTTGATAAAAACATGTCTTTGTTAAAGATAAAATGTATCTTAGAGGTCTTTTAGAGTTATAACAAGTTAAAGTATCTTGGTACTCTGAATTTATATTTAATAAAATATTAATATTTAGTAAAATAATAAAAGTATATATATATATATATATATATACACACACATATATATATATATTTTAGAGGTAAAACTATCATCTTATCTTTATATAAAGAGGTTTTCACACACTTGAAAATGACACATTTTTTTAAAAGAAATATTTTTGACTTGAAAAACTTTTATCTAACCGATTTTTTACAACTCTTGGAACCCTCTAGAAGTGAAAATCATTAGTAAAGATGTAGGATATATTTTCAGAGTTTGAGCAAGTGATCAAGAGCACATCTTGAAACAATAACTCTTCTCATTTCTTTTTGCTTACAATTCTTCTACTTTGCGTTTCTATTTCGAATAGATATTAATTTATTTGCAATTATTTTTATTGTTTATTTTATTATGAGTAGCTAAATCCATAACTAGGATTATGGTGGATCTTTTACATGCTTTATATGATTTTTATGTTTAATGACAATTGTGATTTTTCTTGTTGATTGATTTTTATTCTAATGATATTTGTATGTTAAGAATTAATTACCATTAACGTCTCATAATTAATTACATATAGGTGACTGTACCACATGTAGTTAATGAATTTGTAGGTAAAATGAGAGAATGAATTAAGTGGGCCAAAGTTAGTTTTTCTCATTCAATTTAAGTGGGTCAAATTTTGTTTTTTTCATTTAATCATTATTAATTAACAAACTCATAAGTTTTTTATACTTTTCAACTTCTTTTTATCTTGCATGACTATTGAGAGTGACAACAAAAAAGAATGTTAATATTATATAACCATTAAGTATTAACAAATTTAGTATAAGTGATTGATAATCATAAATCAACTGAAATTGAAATTAAACTAAAATAAATATAAAGAGATGTAAACATGAAATTATATGTTCTAAATTCATCCTAAATAGTTTTTGTAAAAAGTTATTATTCTATTTTCTTTTTAGCTTGAATCTTTTTATATTCTATTTTATTTTATTAGACACTATTTAAGTTTAAACAATTAAATCACGATGATTTTAGTATTTAAAAATGATTTATGTGGAACAATAATCTAAAAACACAATTTGAAAAACTTTTTAACACCTTTTTATATGTACATTTGTCCATGAACCATAATAGTTATTATTGATGTTATTAGAAGAAGTAAATGAAAATTCCATTAAAAAATATTATTATTGTTGCATTATTTTCATAGTTTTCTTTCATTTTTTTTTTCCTATACAAAGGGGCTAAAAAGCCCAAAGAAACAAAATAGAGTCAAGGACTCAAAATAAGGGTCCAAATGTCTAAAAAATTAAGACAAAGAAAAAAAATAAAGAGCGGTCTACCGTGATTTTTTTTATTTTTTGAAAAACTCATATTCTTGTAATTTTTTATTTTTTATATAAAAAAACTCTATTATATTGCTTTTAAATGCTCAATTGTTTATTAAGATTGGTCCACCATGATTGATTTGTATTGATATATTGAAGACACAAGAAGAAATTAAAAAAAAAATCACAAACAAACAAAATAGTGAAAAAGAGAAAGATAAAAAATAATAATAAGAGCATTTTTTTTTTGTTTTTAAAAATGAAAAATTAAATTTCTTTATTTATTAATATTTTTTATTTTTATTTTCTTAGAAAATAGTTTTTTAAGTTGTTTTAAAATATAATTTTTAAAAACTAAAAAATAAAACAAGCTATAAAAGTTTATTAATTTTTTTTGTCTTATCTTAGAAAATTATCTTACATTACATGTAAAATGAAAATAGTGTGAATGAAAACACTCCACTGGCTTAAAAATATGAGGTGTTCGGAGGGCAAGTGTACCCATCGAGAAGTAATAAAGAGTTTTCAACTAAGTTCCCGAAATATCGTCCCACAAGAATTGTTTATCAATTACTAAGAGTTTTCCTAATTTAATTGTTTGAGCTTCAAGGATACGAAATTTATTTAAAACCAAGAATTTATAAAATCAAATATAAAAACTGAGAGCAAGAAACACGAAGCACGTTTTGGTTAAACTTATCGGAGAGGAACCTAGGGCATATGGTGTTCTCATTCAATCCTTTATGTATTCTTCTATTTAGATCTAAATCTGATTTCCTAGTGATTACTAATCATTCATACTAATACTATTAATACTCAATGGTCTTGCAGTATTAATATTTTTTTCCCTAAGTTAATATCTCCAATGATCATGCAGGTTATTAATTTAGACAAAGTCTAAGGAGCCTATGAATTTGTTAATTTAATAACGATTAGAAGATGAAGATTTGTTTGGTCTACCTAATCTTTCCTCTCATTTTATCCTATAGATCTATTAATTACCCGAGGTACGATCGTCTGACGATGTAATTAATTGAGATAAAGAATTAGAAATGATAAGACAAATCCTAATCACAAAATGGAAATCATATTTAGATTCAAATATCACAATCCCATAAAATCATAAACGATAATTCTCATAGCCCTAACTATGGATTTAGCTACTCATATAGAAAGAAAGAACTAAAGCAATCAATAACATATCTATAATGAAGCAGTAAAACAAACTAGAATAAGAATTGAATCTTCAGTCTTCAAGTATGGTCACTTAAAGCTCTAAGTTCCGTCAAGTGTGTGCCAACGATCCTACGAGAAGGGTGGAAGTTATCCAAAATCTCGAAGAAAAGGCTCTGTGTCAATCTGAACTCTCCAAAAAAAGTCCCTTTCACGATGCTTCCTCTCCTCTATTTATAGAATTTTAACTCCTTCAAACTTGGAAAGTGTGGTAAAAGCAAACAAGCACGGCCATGTTTGGGTTAAGCACGGCCGTGCATATTATCGAAACACCCACATGCTCCTCTGGGCATGCTTGTTGCTGAGAGGTTTTAAAACCCATTCATTTGGGTCCAAAATGTACCCAAAATGAACTCGTGGTTTCTTTATTTTAAACTGCGCAATTAACAACTAAATTAGTGTAAAACTCAATTCAAATAAATGGCAAACAAGCATGGTTGTGTTTGGGTTAAGCACAGTCGTGCATATTATCGAAGCACTCCCGTGCTCCCCTAGGCGTGCTTGTTGCTGAGAGGTTTTAAAACCCATTCATTTGGGCCCAAAATGAACTCGTGGTTTCTTTATTTCAAACTACGCAATTAACAACTAAATTAGTGTAAAATCTAATTCAAATAAATGTCAAATATGAATAAATGGACTATAAAAGAGGGCCTAATTACATACTTATCAACTCCCCCATACTTATCTGTTTGCTTGTCCTCAAGCAAAGTACTAGTTAAGAGAATAACAAAATAACTTAAAACATAATACCTCGTAAGGAACCCGAGATAAAGAAGATAAAGAGAGCAAAAAAAGTAATATCACTGAGCATAAGCAATCAAAAGGATTCTCAATTAGAATCTTATATTCCATATTTTTCACTCAAACATCAAATTAAGGTACTCTACTTTCCTCTCTCACTAAGGGACAAAATGAGATACCACTCAATTCTCTTAAAGAAGAGTGTAGTACCATAGGCTTGACTATAAACAAACTCTCCACTAAATAAATTAAAGGCAAGTAAAAATCATGAGGTCTTTTCCAGGTTATAATGTGGTCAAGGGGTTATAATAATTGAGGTGAGATAAATGAAAGAAAGGGGATATACAGAGGGGTAATAAATTATAACAATTATAAACATTCCCTAAGTTTACAAATGAAGCTCTTGGAATAATTTTTATAGTTCTGTATATAAACAATATATTTACTCATCTCTTCTTTCAATCATACATAACTCTCTCTCTCTTTTTCTTTTCTTTTTTTTTCTTTCATTTTTTTTAATCACAAAATGGAAATAGAGGAGAATTTATCAAACAATTCAACAACTCAATTACTTCATTCATAAACTCAAGGTCATCAAAATATTTTTATAAATTCAATGCAAAGAACCAAGAAAATCAATAAAGCTCAAAGTGGGCAACTAGTTGTATCTCAAACATGCTGAAGGCCAATAATAAAAATCCTGTTATACCTCAATCATATTAAAACATGCAATTAAAAATAGAAGTCTTAAGTAGGTTCCAAGTTAAGTTCTAGAGCACAAATCCTAAGGAGATAATCACACAAAACAATGAGAAAAGGGATACAATTAAATTAAGATAAAAAATTTCCTTTAAGGCTCAAAACTCACATATGTGGGTTAAAGTTTAATGTAGAGCATAAAAGTAAAGAGCTTAGCTAATTATTAGCTTCTAAATGAAAGTATAATGCCAATAATAATCACTCAACATGCTCTTCTATCTAGAAAAATTGGGTTCCACGAGGAAAAAAGTTTTAATTTATTTCAAAGATAGCATAGGCACTTTACTTAAGAACATGCAAAATCAATCACATAATTATGTACTACTCCCCTATACTTAGAAGAAAACATGGTCCTCTATGTTTTATTTTAAAATAAATAAATAAATAAATAAAAGAAAATAAAGATAAAAGAAAAAGGAAAAATATTGCCTGGTGGAATCGGGCGATTGATAATGCTTAAAGTGTTGACCTTCGAATATTTGCAATGATGGAGACAAAATACCCAAGTAGTAGACCAGCTTACAGTAGCAAATATATAAAAAATTTGGAGTCCAAGTACATGAATTGAAAGAAATAAAATAAAATGTCAAAATAAAAGAAAAGATATAAGAGAAATAATGAAACTCATAAGTCACTGGGGAGGGGGGAAATGATGCTGGAACAAGCGGAGCAACTCTGCAATCTGGGTCTCCTGCTGGTCAAGGCGTTGATGGATTGATGCAAAATACTCAGCCATTTGAGTCTCGTACCTATCCATCCTCTCATCAATATGTTTGTGCAACCACTGTAGATCTAGATGGTGAGCGGGAACAGGAGATGAGGGTGGCTCCATTGGAGAGTCATGAAACTCACCATCCTCATAAGCAAGAGGAGGCTCAGGCTGCTGCTCAGGTACGGCTGGCTCCTCTCTGGCGAGTGCGTGGGGTGGGACCAGTATAAACTCCCCATTGCCTGCTCAGACTAATATGTCCATCCAGTAAAATGTGTCCGTAGTCAGTGGGGTCATCTCAGCGATCCTCATGTCTCTCTGGTGTACTCGCTGAAGGTTGAGGGTGAGGCGAGAGATGAAAGACCCAACACAGATGTAGCCAGTCTTCGCAGTGCTTAGACGCACTCCTAGGCCCATGCATGACAGAAGAAGAAATCGCCCCGCATTGACGCGGCGCTGGTGAAGCATGCACCATAAAATGAACAGGTGATGAGAGCTAACATTACCTGTGCTCTGGCTGCGTGCAAAAATAGAATGCATAAGCCACTTGTGGAGTACCCGTAAAGCTGGATCTTAAATGGCTGTGCTCTTCGCGAGTCGAGCCCTGTAAATGTCACGAGTGCCGGTAATCTCCTGCCATGCTGCGTCCTCAGAATAGCCTGGGGGAATCTCGACCAACGCCTCTCTATATGCTTGTGTCTGGACTGATTCCTCCGTCTCAAATCGTCAGTGGACGTTAAATTGTGCCAACGTCATGTCGTGTTGGGTGGTCATGTGGAAGCGCACCCGCAAATCATCAGTATAGGTGACAGAGCTCAGGAATTCCAAGACTGGCTCCCTATATGCTGGTACTCGCACAGCCTAGACGCCCTCCCATCCTATAGCTGCTATGTATCTAGAGACGTCCTCCCATAGACCATGTTCTTGAAGAACATTCTCGTCCAGATATCATGTCGGGAGGAACTCGAATCCTAGTAATGTGTCCAAGCGCTTTTGGTATCCTTCTACTGCACGAGGATCACCTCGAAATTGGATCTTGTACGTTGTTGGCGCAGTGGAGGTGCCTTCACGAGCTCTCTTAGGAGGCATTCTACATACAACAATTAAAAATGTCAGTATGGTGCGTATGCACGGCCATGTTCTTCAATCAGCACGGCCGTGCTTATAATTCAAGCACGCCCATGTTGAAACCCTAGCTCATGTGCACAGCCGTGTTGTTCATATGCACGGTCGTGTTTCGTACACAGAAGCAAAAACAATTTTACAGGTAAAGCATAGGGAGAGGGATTAGTACCAAAACACATCAAATATAATAGTTAAAGAGAATAAACACCAACCTGGATGTGAATGCAGTCCAAAATTATAGAATGGGAGCATAAATGAGAAGTGTGCAAAAGTGTTCTATTGAGGGGAGAAAGGGCGTGCACTGCACCGCCTCCCCCTTTTATTCTGTTAAAATTCGCACATGTGCACGGCCGTGCATTTAGGAGGCACGGTCGTGCTTATCTAATGAAAGCACGCCCAAAACAATTCTTTTAACATGGGCGTGTTTGAGGGAAGCACGCCTATGTTACCATTATGCACGGCCGTGTTTGGGTTAAGCACGGGCGTGCATGTGTCGTTTTCCCACTTCATTGCAAATAATTGAAAACTTAAAAGAAAATAAAAATAAACTAATAAAAAAATATAACGCAGGGTGCCTCCTGGAAGCGCTTGTTTAATGTCGCGAGCCTGACATTGTGCTTGTGTTAATCAATTATTATTGTGTGACCAGGAGGGGTCACATTCTCTATATATAGCTTCGCTCTCAGCCCATTGATACGGAAAGGTTCTTCTCTATGCTTGGACACTTCTAGAACTCCAAACGGGAGAACTTTGACCACAGTGTAGGGGCCATACCATCTGGATTTCAATTTTTCAAGAAATAGTCGCAACCGAGAGTTGTAGATCAAAATCCTATCTCCTGCCTGGAAACTCCTATGATAAATGTGTGTATCATGCCACTTCTTAGTGCGTACTTTGTATAACTTGGCATTTTCAAATGCCTCAAAACGTAACTCGTCCAATTCATTGAGTTGCAACAATCTCTTCTCACCTATGACCTGCGAATCAAAGTTTAAGAACTTCAAGGCCCAGTAGGCCTTGTGTTCAAGCTCAACGGGTAAGTGACATGCTTTACCAAAAACCAAACGATAAGGAGACATACCAATAGGGGTTTTGAAAGTAGTGCGATAAGCCCAGAGTGCATCACCCAATTTCAAAGACCAATCTTTCCTGGAGTTGTTAACAGTGCGCTCTAAAATTCTTTTCAATTCCTTATTAGATATCTCAACTTGCCCACTAGTTTAAGGATGATAAGGAGTGGCCACCTTATGGGTGACACCATATTTTGTTAAAAGAGGATCAAATTGTTTATTACAAAAACGAGTGCCACCATCACTAATAATAGCCCTAGGGGTTCCAAATCGAGTGAAAATATTTTTCTTTAAAAATTTAATCACAACTCTAGTATTATTGGTAGGTAATGCTACAGCTTCTACCCATTTAGAAACATAATCAACAACTACTAATATATATTCATTATACATGGATTTAGGAAAAGGCCCACGAAGTCTATGCCCCAAACATCAAATAATTCACAAATCAAGATATTACTAAGAGACATTTCATGTTTCCTAGATATATTTTCATTTCTTTGACACCTATCACATGACTTAACATATAAATGAGCATCTTTAAACAAAATAGACCAATAAAAACCACACTGCAAGACCTTATGAGCGGTTTTCAACGGGCCACAATGACCCCCCACCTCCCTAGAATGGCAATGATTAAGAATCTCATTAACCTCACTCTCTGAAATGCACCTCCTAATCATATTATCCCCACAAATCTTAAAAAGATAAGGTTCATTCCAAATATAATATTTTACATCAGACCAAAACTTTCTAAGCCTATGCTTGTCAAGTAGTTTAGGAGTTACATTACCTGCCAGATAATTTACAAAATTTGCATACCAAGGTGCTTTAGAGATTGCGAGGAGCTTCTCATCAGGAAAAGAATCCTTGATCTCTTTCATTGTGGGTTCCCTCACTGAAACATCCAGTCGAGACAAATGATCTGCTACGACATTCTCACTCCCTTTCTTGTCTCTAATTTCTACATCAAATTCCTGGAGAAGAAGAATCCATCGTATAATCCTTGGTTTAGCATCCTGTTTTGACAACAAATACGTGATGGCAGAATGGTCAGTAAAGACAACAACTCTGGACATTATCAAATAAGAACGAAATTTATCAAATGCAAAGATAACAGCAAGTAATTCCTTCTCTGTAACGGTGTAATTACACTGTGCATCATCCAAGGTTTTACTTGTATAGTAAATAGCCTGAAACACCTTATCTCGCCTTTGCCCTAGAACTGCTCCCACAGCTGCATCACTAGCATCACACATTAGCTCAAAAGGTAAAGACCAATCAGGAGTTACAATCACAGGAGCAATCATTAATTTCTCTTTTAATTTCATGAAGGCAGATAAACATGTTTCATCAAATTTAAATTCTACATCTTTAGCCAACAATTCAGAAAGATGTTTTGCTATTTTTGAGAAGTTTTGTATGAACCTCCTATAGAACCCAGCATGCCCTAGAAAACTTCTAACTGCCTTAACGCTTATTGGGGGAGGAAGTTTAGAAATAACCTCAATCTTGGCAGGATCTACTTCAATACCTTTTCCTGATACCTTGTGCCTCAAAACAATGCATTCATCCACCATGAACTGGCACTTTTCCCAATTTAAAATCAAATTGGCCTTCCTGCATCTCTGTAAAACTAAATTCAAGTTATGTACACAACTGTCAAATGTGGTGCCATATACAGAAAAATCATCCATAAAAATCTCAATACAATGACCCAACAAATCTGAAAATAAAGCCATCATACACCTTTGAAAGATAGCAGGAGCATTACATAATCCAAATGGCATTTGTTTATATGCAAATGTACCATAGGGGCATGTAAAAGTAGTTTTTTCTTGATCTTCAAGAGCCATGGGTAATTTGCATATAACCAGAATAGCCATCTAAACAACAGTAATATTCATGCCCTACTAACTTCTCTAACATCTGATCAATAAAGGGTAGAGGAAAGTGATCCTTCCTAGTGGCTTCATTAAGCTTTCTGTAGTCAATACACATCCTCCATCCGGTTACCTCTCTGATGGCTATGAGCTCCTGTTGCTCATTCTGCATAACAGTAGTCCCTCCTTTCTTCGGTACAACCTGCACAAGACTTACCCAAGGGCTATCGGAGATTGGGAATATAATATCAGCATCCAATAACTTAATTACCTCCTTTTTTACTACTTCTTTCAGATTAAGATTCAATTGCCTTTGGGGTTGTACTTTTGGTTTGAACTCCTCCTCCAGGTGAATTCTATGGGTGCATATGGAAGGACTGATGCCCTTAATGTCATTGATGCTCCATCCAAAAGCCTCCTTATTCTCTCTTAATCCTCTTAGAAGCCTCTCCTCCATGCTACCTGTCAAATTGGCATAAATAATTATAGGTAAGTGAGATGGAGAGTGTAAAAAAACATATTTAAGATTCGAAGGATGAGGCTTGAGTTCTAGTTCAGGAGGTTCTTCGACTGATGGCTTGGCTCTTTTCTAGGAGTGTTCTCCTAAATTTTCAAATATCTTTCGTCCGAACCATCTGCCAGGTACCTCACTGTTCAATGCTAAGATCTCATCTATTATCTCTTCAGTGTCGTGTAAGTCCCTCCTTTCTAATGTAAGTATTTTCTCCAATACATCTTTCATTAATCCATCCTGTACCTGTGGTACATTCAGAGAGAGGGAGGTAACATCTACAATTGACACAAAATTACAAGAATCAAAAGTGGAGGGATGCTTAAGTGAATTAAAAACTTTAAATACTACTTTCTCTTCGTTCAATCTTAATGTAAGCTTCCCCTGCTGAACATCTATTATCGTTCTTCCTGTAGTTAGGAAAGGCCTTCCTAGTATGATGGGTACTTCGTCATCCTCTTCCATGTCAAGGACAATGAAATCTGCAGGGAATATAAACTTATCCACCTTGACCAGGACATCCTCCACTATACCCCTAGGATACGTTATCGAGCGATCAACAAGCTGTAGAGAAATTGAGGTTGGCTTGGGTTCCTGCATACCCAACCTTCTAAACACAGAAAATGGCATTAGATTAATACTAGCGCCTAGATCACAAAGTGCTTTATCAAAATAAGAATTGCCTATTGTGCATGGAATCGTAAAACTCCCTGGATCCTTGAGCTTAGGTAGTAGTTTTCTTAACAATATTGCTAAGCACTCCTCATTCAGTTTGACTGTCTCGAATTCTTCCAATTTCTTTTTGTTGCTTAGCATCTCCTTGAGGAATTTGGCATATTTAAGCATCTGTGAAATAGCTTCAACAAAAGGGATATTGATGTGGAGTTTTCTGAGAATCCCAAGAAATTTATTAAACTGAGGGTCTCTCTGGGTAGCCATCAACCATTGTGGAAATGGAACTTTCGGCCTTGGCATCACTAATGCATCATCCTTTGCTTCTTTTTTCGTATCTGATTGGCAAGCACGGCCTTGCTCATCATCAAGCACGGTCGTGTTCTCTATAAGCACGGGCGTGCATTCAGTGTTAGCATGGGCGTGTTGTTCGAAGCACGGCCGTTCTTGTTGAGCCAACATGGGCGAGCAGGGTGATGCAAGGGCGTGCTGATCAACAAGCACAGGCGTGCATGGCTTATGTGGTTGCATTTCACTCAAGTTTTTTCCACTTCTTAAAGTAATTGCTTTAGCTTGTTCCCTAGGATTCGGTTATGGTTGGGATGGCAATGTTCCTAGTGCTCTTTGACTGAGAAGACTTGTGATTTGCTCCAACTGGGATTCAAGCTTTGAAGATTGAGTCCTCATCTCAGCTCTGATTTCTGCAAACCTCTTATCTTCCCTCTCAATCTGTTGTTCCATCTGTGCCTCCAGCTTTGCTATTATCTTGTCAGAGTTATGCACGTATTGCATCATCTGTTCTTGAAAATTGGATTGGAATCTAGGAGCTTCACTTCTTTCTAGCTTCTCTCCTTGATTTTGCACATGAAGAGGTCGATAGGGCACATTCTGATTTCCCTGGCGGCTTCCCCAAGGGTTTGTGTTACTATTGCGCCATCCTGAATTGTAATTATTACCCATAAAGTTCACCTCCTCCTGATCAAACTCTGTATTATGCGCCGACTTTGTGGGTTGATCTTGTGCTTTCATCAAGCACTCCAGTTGCTTTGTGAGAGCTGCCATTTGTGTTAACAGTGGGTTATTGCTCTCTGCTTGATAAACTGGCGCAACTTCTTTTCTCTTGGAGTTGTAAGTGTCCGTTATGTGCCACTGAAAGCTGGCAGATGCCATTTCGTCTATCAATCTGTATGCGTCATCTGGATCTTTCCTTATAAGAGATCCTCCTGTGGCGGTATCAATCGTGGCCCTGTTATGGATGGATAGGCCACTGTAAAAGATCTGTACCTGCCTCCAAGTTGGAAAGTCATGGTGCGGGCATCTTCTCAATAATTTCCCGAATCGCTCTCATGCTTCGAACAATGATTCTGTTTCATTCTGCTGGAAGCAACATATTTCTGTCATCAACTTAGACGATCTTGATGGAGGAAAGTATTTTCTTAAGAACTGTTGAGTGAGATCCTCCCAAGTTGTGATGGAATTGGCTGGGAGTGAGGAAAACCATGCATTCACTCTTTCTGACACTGAAAATGGAAACAGGCGGAGTCGAATGGCATCGTTGGAGACTCCATTGTATTTTATGGTGTCCGTCAATCGAAGGAACTTTGTCATATGCAGATTGGGGTCTTCGTTAGGCAAGCCCCCAAATTGTATGGAGTTCTGAACCATGGTAATGAGTGCTGGTTTCAACTCAAAATTATTTGCCCCCACATTAGGTGCTGCGATACTTCCAGGAGTGCCTCTAGCATTGGGCATCATGTAATCTTGGATCGATCTCCTTCCCTCTGCCATTCTTTGCTCTCTCATTTCTTTTCTTTGTCTACAAACTGTCCTTTCAATTTTAGGATCAAACAAATAAGCTGTAAAACACTTAGAACAAGTGAGCATACATCAAGAGTAATAAAAAAATGAGAATAAAATAAATACGAAAATTGTAAAAAAAAAAAATTAACAATAAACAAAACAGAACTAAAATAAAGTAAAACACAAATTGCTCAAATTAATTAAATTTTAGATTTTCTTAATATTGAAAAAGCAATATCCGGCAACGGCGTCAAAAACTTGTTTTGAGGGCAAGTGTACCCATCAAGAAGTAATAAAGGGTTTTCAACTAAGTTCTCGAAATATCGTCCCACAAGAATTGTTTATCAATTACTAAGAGTTTTCCTAATTCAATTGTTTGAGCTTCAAGGATATGAAATTTATTTAAAACCAAGAATTTATAAAATCAAATATAAAAACTGAGAGCAAGAAACACAAAGCACGTTTTGGTTAAACTTATCGGAGAGGAACCCAGGGCATATGAGTGTTTTCATTCAATCCTTTATGATATTCTTCTATTTAGATCTAAATCTGATTTCCTAGTGATTACTAATTATTCATACTAATACTATTAATACTCAATGGTCATGCAATATTAATATTCTTTTCCCTAAGTTAATATCTCCAATGATCATGCAAGTTATTAATTTAGAAAAAGTCTAAGGAGCCTATGAATTTGTTAATTTAATAACGATTAGAAGATGAAGATTGGTTTGGTCTACCTAATCTTTCCTCTCATTTTATCCTATAGATCTATTAATTACCCGAGGTACGATCGTCTGACGATGTAATTAATTGAGATGAAGAATTAGAAACGATAAGACAAATCCTAATCACAAAATGGAAATCATATTTAGATTCAAATATCACAATCCCATAAAATCATAAACGATAATTCTCATAGCCCTAACTATGGATTTAGCTACTCATATAGAAAGAAAGAACTAAAACAATCAATAACATATCTATAATGAAGCAGTAAAACAAACTAGAATAAGAATTGAATCTTCAGTCTTCAAGTATGGTCACTTAAAGCTCTAAGTTCCGTCAAGTGTGTGCCAACGATCCTACGAGAAGGGTGGAAGTTATCCAAAATCTCGAAGAAAAGGCTTTGTGTCAATCTGAACTCTCCAAAAAAAGTCCCTTTCACGATGCTTCCTCTCCTCTATTTATAGAATTTTAACTCCTTCAAACTTGGAAAGTGTGGTAAAAGCAAACAAGCACGGCCATGTTTGGGTTAAGCACGGCCGTGCATATTATCGAAACACCCACATGCTCCCCTGGGCATGCTTGTTGCTGAGAGGTTTTAAAACCCATTCATTTGGGTCCAAAATGTACCCAAAATGAACTCGTAGTTTCTTTATTTTAAACTGCGCAATTAACAACTAAATTAGTGTAAAACTCAATTCAAATAAATGGCAAATATAAAATAAATGGATTATAAAAGATGGCCTAATTACATACTTATTATGAGGCAAGGTAAGTGAAACTTTCAAAAATAACTTTAAAAGTGAACTTTTGATTGATAAGCCTATTTTTATAATATTATATTTTTATTCATTTGAAATCAGACAAATATCACACATAAAAAATATAAAAGTAATAATTTGATTAAGCTACTTGGATAAATATGGACAACAATATTCATCAGTTCACGCACTGTTCTTTACTTTTTTAATTAATGTTAAAAACGCAAAAAGAAAACTTCATAGGACTAATTTTCAATTTTCAATTATTACAAGTATTTTTATTTTATATATTTAATTTAACAAGTTCAAGGATCAACTCTTTCGTTTGACCAGCGACCCGGTAATCCTGTTGCTCAATTGATTTTATTATTGGTCTAAGTTTAATAACATTGATTTCTTATAAAAAAAAAAACAAATTTTCAAATAAATAAATTACCTACAAGGACTTTATAAATAGTAACATTATGTAAGACATCTTCAATTGATACAATGAAGAAATCATAACAATGAATAGGAATAACAATGAGTACCCGCAAAGTTTACTTATAATGGGTAAGGTATTTACCCATTACATGGGTACGGGTATAAGTATGGATAAAAATTTATAAATTTTAATAGGGAGGAGTGCAAGTATGAGTATCTAAGTACCCGCTATATATATATATATATGCTTGAACTTTATTCTACAATTATGTATTAAATTTTTATGTTATTATACTATGTACTTATGTGAAGTTATATAAAAATATATTTAATAATAAAGTAAACTACAAAAAATTATTTTGGTTTATATTTTAAATTGAAAAATTTATTTATTATTTTATATCATTTAATTATGCTAATACAATTTAATTATTACATAGTTGATATGAGATTGACTTTTTTTAAAAAAATATTATTTATATATGACATACATAAAATATTTTTCACCCAAATATTTTTGTCAATAAAGTCATTTTGATATTTAAATCATAAAGTGGATGATAAATAATAAACATATTGTAAATATTTTATAAATTTTACAATTATCTACTATTATCGAAAATTTATTATTTATTGATAATATTTAAATTTTATTTTTATATTTTAATTTAAAATAATATTTTCCTATGCAACATGTGTATTACAAGCACAACTATAATCTATTGAATCTAAATAATATTATTCTTACTATTTATTTAAGCTCAAAGAAGTTTTTGAAAAGATATGAAATATAAAAAATTATTGTTAATTTTTATTTACTAATTTTTTTCAGATAAAAAAAGTATAATTTTTTTTATACACACATATATTTCTTTATTATAAAATTTTATTGTAACTATTTATCTTTTATTTAAATTCTTTTTTTTTTAATTTATATACATTATAAATATTTAATTTATTAAAATAATTTTTTAAAAATTTGTATTTTTGACAAAATACTTTCGTATAATATATCAGTTAAAAATATTAATATTAATACATATATATATATATATATTATTTGAATTAAATATATTATTTTTCTTATAATTTCTAATTCAAAAGTTAAAAAAAATATTTTATATATTCAATTTTCGTTGTTATGACTTAAACTTCTCTGCTCTAACTCTACTATCATTCTCAATGTTTGTCTCATTAAAATCTGATAACTATGAAATATTATTTATTAGAGTTTGTTGTCAATGCCGCCACAAGAAGTCACCAAGTGATCGCACACCACTCATTGTGCAGATCTATTTTGTTGTTGCTCTAACATTGCCGATCGATCGAATCTTACATAACATAAGGTTATCGTCAACAAACAACTTGTGTGTTTAGTTTCGCTTATTGTTTCTAAAAATTTTAGTTTAAAAAATTATTGTATTGAGATATATTTAACACTTGTAATATTTGAATATTTATTTTTTTATCTATGTTTATACCTTGTTCAGCAACTACATGTTGAATTTTTGTATTATTAGACTACTTATGTGAAGTTATATAAACATATTTTTTTCTCAAACTAGCGTATGTAATGGGTATAAGATCTGGGTACGCAGGTATAATAGATATGAGTATTTTTTTTAAAACGAGAGTATGGGGATAGGTACTATAATACTCTCTACCTATACCCTACCGATTGCTATCTCTAACAATAAATTCCATTTAAGGAATCACAATAATATAAAAAAAAAATTGATTAAAATATAATTTTAAAATACAACGAAGCAATAAGCTGAGGATATTAGCAGCTATTAACATTAGATGTTAGAAATGATAACGTCCTAACCACTCATTAAACTTTTCATAAGTATAAAAAATATACTTACAATAGATATATAATCAGAAGAATTCGTTAATATTAGGGAACAAATTTAAAAATTTATATTATTTAATATATTTTTTTTATAAAATACAATATTAACTAGTCAAATTGTTTATTTAAATATTTTTATAAAAATTAACTTTATAAATTTTTATATAAAAAATTAAATAAATACTTCATTTCATTGACATATTTCAACGTTTGATATTTTTAAAAAATATAAATAAATATTAAAATTTAAAAAATATAATTTTTTATATATTTATGAATGTTTAAATTATATAAAATTTGATATATATAATTGTAAAAATAATATAAGATAATTTAATAATTAAATTGATTAATATTATATTTTATAAAAATTATTAAAGAATATAAATGTATAAATTTAACATATAATTTTAACGAATTTTTAAAACCAAATCAAATAGATTGAAAATTGATTTAATTTTATAACTATTTTTATTGAATTAGACTAAAATTTAAATTTAATTTAAAAAATATTCAATTCAATTGAGTTCAAATTAAACTTACATATATATACATAAATTATTTACCAAATCACCGTACAATTCATATTTGTGTAAATGAGTATTTATAAAACTATTATACTAATCCTTTTAAAAAAAATTAATCATCTAAATTACGTTTTATAAGGATGATTACCAGTGTCATTTCGGTTTTTTTTTTCAAATAAATATTAATCCTATTTTAGTTAATATTATAATTTAAATGTAATAATTAACATTTTATATTAATTTTGCCAATAATTACAATTTTTTAGATTTATTTAAATTAAAATATTTAATTCAATCTAACTTCTAACTAGATTATATTGGATTAGATCTGTTATCAGTGATATTATATTGAAACTGTTCTAAATTAAATCACAAAGGATCCTATCAGCTTATTTGATTATATGTTTTAACTAAATTAAATATTAATACCTATTTGTGTTAAAAATAATAATAAAAATGTATTAATAGTATTAAATTGTATAATTTATAAAATTTTATTTTAATTTATTTTTTATTCTATTCATTTAATATAAAAACTATTATCTTAATTTGATAGTTCTTTATTTATTTAAAAAATAAAAAATTGCAACTGAAAATATTTTCTTGTTTTCGGTACCCTTGAACTGTTGCTTCCCTCGCACAAGCCAAGCCGTCGTCGTTTTGGTTCCGTTGCGTTAGTAGGGTTCCTTTCAAATTTCTCTATTCTCCATGAAATAACACACACCACCAACAATACTGCATCCATTCCTCTTAGCTACTCGCGAAATCGGAACCCTTTGATCGTGTTTTGCGACACTACACTTGAAACACAAATGGCTCAGGTAATCCTCAATCCATTTTTATTTATGGATAATTAATTCACTTATTTTCAATTTCACTATTTTTTTACGTAAAATTGATGCTTATTTTGCTGGACATAACCGAGTTGATTTATGTATTAAAATGAAGAAGGAAAGAAGCAGAATCCCAGGTTCCATCGAGACCCAATATGAGGAGAGTGAGACAGACGAGTCTTCTTTGTCTTCTAGTTCCTCAGAAGATGTGGGTAACTTTAAAATCTCATAAAGTTACGATTTTTAAACTTTTTTATCCTTTGGGGTTTCTTCATAGCAAAGTTCATAGTAAGTGTGAAAGTGTAATCGTTTTTTATGATTATAGGAGGAGGAGATAGAGAAGGAGCTGGCAGATGTAACGTTTGAGGAGTTGCAGAAAGCACGCTCAAATGGGGCACATGCTTTTTTGCAGAAACCCAACGAAGACAAAAAGTTAAAAAGGGCTAACAAGAATAGGTATGTATTTGTAACAACTTAATTGAGTTTTTTTTTTTTTTTTAATCTGATTCTTGTGTTAATGAAACCACATCCAACTAAATTAGTTTCTAATGTTTGGTTAGGCCAATGGAAGCTAGTAGCAAAAAGCCAGTTTCTGGTTTTAGAGAGGTTATTCAAGCTCCTAAAAAGGTGCGTTTGTTTGGTACTTGTGTAGAGTGTGATGTTCTTTTTAATTTTATGTTACTGGTCTTAAGTTAATTCATTGACACGTTAATTGGTTTAAGCTTTCGAAGTCTAGTGATGGGCCTGGGTTTTCGATGCATTGTAATTATTAGACCTACTAGCCTGTAAAACCATTTGCTGGCTGATGTAGAGGAGGAATACCAATTGCAGCCTGTTGCTTATTGTTTGCTTAATAGCTTTACATCCTCCCTCGTTATTAAGATGCTGGGTTCATTGTCCTGTGTGTCGATTTAGGATATTAGCTGGTTTGAGTGAATTATAGCAATGACTTTTACTATATAAATACTTTCAGAAGTTTCAAAGTTTTCGTGCTTGTGCTATATGATGTGGAAATTTTGTTGAATTTGAATGCGTATGTGATCTTTTCATTTTGTATACCTGGATATTTTTGCTGAGTTATGTATGCCTTCAATAATGTTCAGGTTGTACGTGATCCACGATTTGAATCTCTTTGTGGTAAACTTGACCCTGAAGGGTATGTACTTCACCTCTGGGCATGTGCTCTTTGTTTGTCCTTTTTTTCTAAATGTTGTCATGTACATTTATGTTAAGAAATTTGCATAACTGTAGTTGCATTCTTCATTACAATATTTAAGCAATTCCTTGCTAGTGTTAAGCTATGCTGACCATTTTAGAGCATGTCTACCCAAGTGCCATTCCTTAACTATTAGTATTTTGAGAAAAAACTTATTTCTGCTCACGTGAAGGGGTCAACTTAATATGAAGAATCAGTTAAAACAGTGGACATAAAAATGCAAAATTCACACAAAATCCATGCATAATGTGAGAACATTTTATTCCCTAAAGTTAAGCTTGAGAATAATCCTTAATAAATGTTATGTCATAGATAATAATCTTTTCATTGTCTGTTCATAATTCTCTAAACAAACATTCTTTATTCTGATGTGTATTGGTCGTGCATAACAAAGAAGTATCAAGTTGTTGATAACTATCCGATACTGATCAAGACAATTGTATTTTGATTCAACATCCATATTCAAGCATGTTGTAAGATATGAAATGATGTTTGTTATAGGGCAATGAGAAATATATATATATATATATATATATATATCCTTAAGTATGTTTCTTTGGGATTGCCACTTGGTTTCTGCTCTTTAAGTGATGCTATAATAGTTCTTTAAAGTAGTTCATGTTATTACCTGTCCTTCATGTAGGTAGGATTTGCTTGGGAATTGGTATTCTTGATTACATAATTAATAGTTCTAGTTCTAGCCTAGGCCATAGGCTCATAGCATTTACTTTCTAATAAATTTTATTTAATTATTGCTACAAATTATATTTATACCTGTGAACAATTTAATGCATTTTTATGTTTCTACTTGTTTATTTTAAACAAGTGCTTTCAACTAAATCTGGAAGCTTCTCTTGCTTTGTATGATGGGCACTGTGTAACACATTAATATGTGTACTTGGATTTGCAGGTTCAGAAAGAGATATAATTTTTTATATGAAAATGATCTTCCTGCTGAAAGACAGGTAGCCTTCCAGATTGTAAGTGAAATTTGTCTATAGTTTATTCCACGACTTTCCTCTCATGACATTATCTGGACATAATAGGCTCTTAAGAAGCAATTGAGGAAATATAAAGATCCAAAGCGCATAAATGAAATAGAAGAGCAGATATCATGGATTGTAAGTACTTGACATTTTGAAGCTTTTCTTCTTCCTCCAGAAGTGTGATGCTTATTAATTTACTTGATCATATTTACATGTCTTCTCAGGACAAACAGTTGAAATCGGGTTCAGCAAAGAATATTGATGCAGAGATATTGGCTAAGCACAAAAAGAAAGAGAGAGAAGCAGCAAAGCAGGGAAAACGTCCTTTTTATCTCAAGAAATGTAATTCTTCTTCCTTCCATGCCCTCCCCCTCCCCCTCCTCATATATTTGGAAATGCAATTTTGCTTATGCTAAATGGTCCTTGTTAAACCCATAATATATAGTACTTATTCAAGTTAGAGAGAGGATAGATACTATAATAAATAGAGTACATGCAAGTCAATGTAGGGTAAATTTTGAGGATAATACCTTAAAATAAATATACAAGATGAGTAATTTTAAGGGAGTAGTTTCTGGAATGTTTTTAAGCTTTGATAGATCCTCTAGACAGCTTCTTCTACTCTTTATTATTTGGCCTATCTGACCTGAATTGGAGGACGATCAGAGCCAATGGCTCTCTACACAAAGTACTGATTTTACTTTGCTTGTCTTCCTTTGGATGAAATCCAACTTGTAGCTAGACTACAACACAGAGGTGCCTGTTCTCCCTCCCTTTAATCCGTTATTTCTTTGTTTATTCTTCCTACCTAAATAATTCTTTATTCTGCCAGGGAAACTAATAATTATGCTCGTGTTTGAAATTTTATATGCTAGTCCTATTTAAACAATTAAACTTCTAATCTACTATTGACACTAAAATTCTCATGTTCTAATTTCCTCCCACTTGTATAAGAGGAGTAATTAATAAGAGGTTCATTAAATAACCTTTTCTGCAACTAAGAAGGTTGTTCACAAGGACTGTGTTATCCTTACTCATTCTAGTACTACAAGTGAGGATATTTTTTATTCTTTTTTTGTTTTACCATTTTTAGTTTCTACATGTAAATGAGGAAATATTCTGTGGGATGTTACAGTTTGTTGTTGTGTAATAGTCTAGGATATAAAGCCATGAATATGTAATACAATTGGTAAGCATTCCATTGTTGCTTCCCAATTCAGTTCATAGACAATCCTATGAATCAAACTCACCAAATAAATTTAATGACATATCAAACAAACAAATACAAATAAAATGAAACAACATCAACTATATTTGCTGACCAACTTTTCTGTTTCTTGCAGCTGAAATACGTAAACAAAGTCTTATTGAAAAATATAAGCATCTCAAGGTATACATCTCAGAACATCTCTCTGTATCCCCCTGTACCCAACAGCATCATTCCGTTTATTGTCTTTTCTACTAACTATATATATTTATCATTTTTAGTCATCTGGCAAACTTGAATCATTTGTTGAGAAAAGGCGGAGGAGGAATGCTGCAAAGGACCATAGATACATGCCGTATCGTAGATCTGGTGATGTGGAATAAGGATTTTAGCTTTAAGATTCTTTCATGGGCTATACTGGAAAATAGCACCCCAAAAAATGGCATGTGCATTTTGTCTCCCATCTTTGGGGATTAAAGATAAAAGCCTCTTCTGTCAACCTAGTAACCATGTGCATGTCCAATTAGAGTGCAAACTAAGTTGGGTAGAATTTTTTTTCATAGAATTAATTTTGAACTGTTAATTGTAATTGAGATTTGTATTTAAATTAATCTTGGTCAAAAATTTACATTAGGCGTGTTCTTCATTGAAAAGTGAGAATTGATATTCTAATGCCGAAACAAACACGAGTTAACGTGCTTGGCAAAATCATGGTTGAGTTGGGTTTGAATTTGATTTGGGTCCCAAACCATGGTTTGGGCTTTTTTATTTAAATATTATAAAAATAAAAACAAATTCTTAATTTATTGTTTTTTTAAACTATTTTCCGTATGAAGTGTGGCAATAATTTTGTCAAAACAGCCAATGAAAGTATTGAATTTTTATTTTTTTAAAAATAAATTGTTACCAGAAATGCGAAATAATCATAGTGTAATTTTGTAATATGGATAGTAAAATTAAATGCTGATACGTGTCACAGTCTGAATGAGTTTCGTTATGAAAATTGTATAATTTGTAAGAATTTGACACATGGTACAATTTTAGTTTATTGTGTGAATTTACTTTTATTAATTTTAATAATATAATTAAACTAAATTTAATTTAGATTTACATACAAATTATTATCATATTTAAAATAAAAATTAAATCACTAGCATAATACTAAAAAATAAATTTTTTATTTATATATAAATTCAAATTATATCTTAATTAAATAAATTTAAATCATTAACGTAATTAAAATTTTATATTAGATATAAATTATAATTACATTGAAATTTTAAAAAAATAATAAGATAATACAAGAAAATATTTTTTATATTTACACATAAATTACTGTTAATTCTTCATTAAAAAAAGTCTAAATTACTAACATAATTACAATAAAGAATTTTGTTGCACCCTTTTTTAAAAATTTAAAGTTATTTTATGTGACCCGAAAAAATATCTATTGCATATATTTATTGTAATTAAGTTACTAATTTAAACTTTTTTAACAAATAATTAATAGTAATTTATATGTAAATATAAATAATATTTTCTTGTATTATGTTAATAATTTAATTTTTTAATTTCAATATAATCATAATTAATATCTAATAACAAAAATTTTTATTTTGTTAGTGATTTAAATTTATTTAATTAAGAAATAATTTAAATTTGTATGTAAATAAAAAAATATTTTTTAGTATTGTGTTAGTAATTTGATTTTTATTTTAAATATAATAATGATTGGTATGTAAATCTAAATTAGATTTAGTTTGATTATGTTATTAAAATTAATGGAGGTAAATTTATGCAATAGGCTAAAATTGTGCCACATATTATATTTCTACAAGTTGTGTAATTTTTATGGTAAAATTTACTCAGATTGTAACACATGTTACCATTTAAGAGTTTCACGTGTATGATAAAATTAACATTTAATTTTATCAATCATATTACAAAATTATATTTATACCCACACTTCACAATTTGGTTATTTTACGTTACAAATGATAAATTTTATTTTTAAAAAACTAAAAATTTAATATTTTTATCAATCGTTATGATGAAACTATTATTACGTGGATTGACATCCCTAAAACAGAAAAATAGTTTTAAAAAATAATAAATTAAGAATTTATTTTTAATTTTATAATATTTAAATAAAAATGCCCATGGTTTGAGTAGAAGTGAAAAAGAAGTTTCTTTTGGGTTGGTTTAACCGTGGTTTCTTTTCCGTTGGACAAACAATTAGTTGAATGTCCGATTTTGCGTATAAATGTGATAATATTTTTTACTCCATTTCGTAACTGCTCCATTTTTTTTCTAGGTTTTATATTTGGAACTGTGTTTGATAATATATCTTATAATTCTGGAAATTAGATTCTTAAAGTTAATTATAAATTACTTTATAAATTTATTTATTTTTAAATATAGAATCACTTTTAGAAATAAATTTTTCAAATGTGTCAAAAACTTTCAAATATTAAATTTAAATAAAAAAAAAGTAATTCGAATAATAATAAAAACTTGCAAATATTAATTTTCTTAAATATTAGTAATATTATACGCACACAAACAATATACATAGTTTAAACCTGTAGCCTGAGGTTATACAAATCACTTAAGGCTGGGGAAGCTCGGCTCAGGAATCCATGTTTAATTTGGTTCACGTTCTTATATTATTTTGGATTTGTTTTATATTATAATCTCTTTTCCAAATTGGATTCATAAACTCAATATTAATATGCAGGGAATGATAATCAATTCGGTTGAGTTATTTAATCACTGCTTTAATAGTTCGTGGACGACGATGATAATAATAATAATAATAATAACAATAATAACGCATTAAAGAAAAAAAAAAGTTAACCTTAAAATAAATTATAAGAAATGTTAACTAATACAATCTTTATTTTTGGCTAAATTCATACCTTACTTAAAAATGTGAACACGTTCTTGTTAATTAGACTCGCATGAAATTCATAAATAATAAAGAATATATTTGAAAGTATTTATAAAGATATTGTATTATTAAAATTTCTCATTTATTATCCAATTACATATGCATTCCCATATAGTATTATGCTCTGATAGGAATGACTTGAAGAGGAAGGGCTTTATGTAAGGAAAGCCCACATTTCTCAGAAATATCCATGTCCTCATCTATGGGCTTCCAATCATAGGTAAATAAAAGAGAGGCCAACACAATGTGCACAGTCCTTGAAGCCAATGGCAACCCAGGACAGATCCTTCTTCCAGCTCCAAAGGGTATCAACTCAAAATCTCTACCTTTAAAATCAATCCCACTTTCTAAGAATCTTTCAGGCATAAATTGATCTGGGTTTATCCAAATACTTGAATCTCTCCCCATGCCCCATACATTAACCAGAATTTGAGCACTTTCAGGCACCATGAAGCCACATAGTTCAGCATCAACTCCTGATTTGTGTGGCAATAAGAGTGGGACTGGTGGATGCAAACGAAATGATTCTTTCACTGCTGCTTGTAGGAAAGGAAGCTTTGAGATAAGTGATTCATCAAGTTGTTTACCTTTGACAAAGACCTGCTCAAGTTCTTTTCTAACTTTTTCTAATTTTTCTGGGTTACGTAGCAACTCGGTCATAACCCAGTCTATTGAGGTTGATGTTGTGTCTATTCCGGCAACAAATAAATCCTGATATATATGATGGATTAGTAAGATAAGATTTACTAACAAATTTAGAAAGAGGTATAATGAATTAAGTTTACACTTTTACTTATATATTTTAATAAATTTTAATTAATAATTAAATGTATAGTATAAAGAGTGTAATTTTAGCTCTTCCTTTACTTTTATAACAAATGAATCTGCTGTTTTATGTACATATTCCTTGTCCTATGCATAAAATTAAAATTTGTATCTGATGAGGTAAAGTTTTACCTTCAATATTGGTGTAATGAATAAAATAAAATTTCTAGACAATATACTCACCAGAAATAAATGCAAAACATGGGGACGAGTGACTTGCGAATCATCTTCAAGCATGAGTTCTAGCACAGAATCTAACACGTCATTGCATGGCTTGGATTCATTTTCCAAAGCTCTTAAACGCAATCTTTCATCTATAAGACCATCAAAAAACGCAATTAATTTTCCAAAATAACTACTCATTCTGGTACGTGCACCTTGTGGATCAAGCGTGCGAAAGATTGGGAAGAAGTCCACAACATTAGGCTTCCCAGCTTCTTCCATGATACCCCAAATGATGTTCCTAAATTCTTGAGACTCATCAGAAGTGTAATGAGCCAAATCCATAGAGAAAAAAGTGTTTGAAATTGAATTAAGAACAGTTGTAAAGGAAGCTTCACCAATATCCAAAGCTTCTCCTTTCTTACATTTTTCCTCAACATAATCCATCAACTCTTGTACCTTCCTTTGACGAAGAACTTGGGTAGAATCAAGTTGTTGAGAAGAGAAAACTTTGGTAGCACAAACTCTCCTAAGGGTTCTCCATTGTGTTAAAGGTGGCAACCACGCCACTGAAAACATGTGGTGATCAAGTGCTCGAAGAGTGTCTGGGATTTTCCTATTAGAGAAGATTTGATCATTCTTTTGCAACACTTCTTTGGCAATTTGTGGAGAGGAAATAACTATGGTGTTTGTGTTACCAAGCTTAAGACTCATTATGGGTCCATAAATTTGAGAAAGCTTGGTAAGTGCTTGATGAGGTTGGTTGCCAAGTTGTAAGATATTTCCTATGATTGGTAAAGGGCGAGGCCCTGGGGGATATTTGGAGGATGTGGGTGTTTTCATCCATAGCTTGGAGACCAGGACATGAATGGTTACACATGCTAGGGAAATTAGTAGAAGTGCAAGGTAGTCCATGGTTATTTGCTCCATAATGGTTAGCTTCTTGTGTGTGTCTGTATATATATACATGATAAGCAGTGTTTGGTGCTTTGAAAATTAAGGTGACATATATGCCCTTTTGAGATGAAGAAATAACTACCCATCTATATTATACATATTTAAGTATTTATTTTCACAATTTATTATTAAAAAGTCAGAGTTATTATAAAATCTGTAAGGGATATATATTTATATTTATGTGATTTTAAAAACTTAACACTTAAGTCCTAAGTTATACTCATTGTCATTAACTTAATCATGGTTACAAAGCAAGCGTTAATTAAGCTAGGAAAAACAATGTTATGAAAGGGTTGTGGTTTCCATCACAGTTGTGGCGGTTTAGTTGTTCAATTTTGACCAACAACATGGTGTGATGGGAGAATTTGAAGTTGAAAACGGGAAGCTTGTGTAGCGTGTTGTTCTACAGAACATATAGATTGCTTATAACCAAGTTGCAATTAAGGTTAACAGCAACAAATTTTACATTTGGATAGTGTTAAATTTTCAAAATAATACAATCATCCTTCAGATTCGAAAGGTATGTAATTTGGAAATTACCAAGAAGATAATTTTGACCAATAGATCACTTGACAATCATCAAATTTGTTTATTCAATGAATCATTTCCCTAAAAGTGAAGTCTATCATATATCCAAAAAAAGGGAAAGAGCCATTGCGGCAAAGAAAACGAGAGAAAAAAATGATGAGGATTTTCAGTACTTTAGTACAGATTCAAGGTATCTTTTAAGCAGAGATAACTATGTTTAAGTAAAAACTATTTATTATTTTATGATAATTTAAAATCATAATTAATTTGATTTCTTATATTTTTTTATTATTTATTGCATAATTCTATACTATAATATTAAAACATATATTTCATTAGTATTAAATTAATTAATTATAGTTGAATTAAAAATCTCATACTAATATTTAAATAATTAATTAAAACTATGAAATGTTAATATTACGTTACAAAATTTACATTATTTTTGTCTGTCAATAAAGAAAAGAGTTAAAAACGGGCATTAAATATGTAGCTGACATCTCCAAAAAAGACAATATCACCGTTGTCAAAAACGGAAAAAGATCCCCTCATTTTTAACCAACAATATTATTTTTTAAAAAAATTATATAAACTAAACATAAAATAAAAACATTCTAAAAATATTGTATATTTCTAAGAATAGTTTACACATATCAAATTTATTTATAATATTTATAAAAATGAAATATAATGTTCTGACTAATAGATAAAACTTAACAATAAGAATTATTAATTATAGACAATTTTACCTATCAAAAAATAATAAAGAATTTTTAAATTAATAGTTTTTAAGTTATTATCTTACAGAGATTATTTTTAAGTATTAAGAATAACTTAATTAATAAATATTGCTAACACTGTCAATTAAATTTATGCTTAATCAAAAATTTAAATGATTAAGTTAATGTTTAAAATAAAAAAAAATGATACAAATATTTATAATACGAAAAGTATGAATGTATCAATATAAAACTATAAAAAGATATTGATGCATAAGTTCGTAGTCCTCTTTCCCAAAGTCACCCCCACACAATCTTAAAGAAGAATCTGCTTTTTGGGTTCAGTGGTCGATGGTTTCTTTGTTTCTTTGCTGCACTTGTCGCATAGACATCGTGTCTAATCAATAGAATGGTCCTTTAATATTAATATAATTTAATGATTGGTTTAATTTTTATAAAGAATTTTGTTTTTACACTTCAAGCTTTCACTAAGAATTAACAAATTAAATAAAGAAAAAAAATTGAGAGTAAAGGAAGAGGGAAATAAATGAGTCGTAAGAGTTTTAAAAAAATTAATTTATAAAAAAAAGGTTTAGAGAATTTATAATTTTTTATATTTTTAAAAATATTTAAATAAAAATTATTATTAAATAAATATTTTTAATTTTTTCTTAAAATTAACTTTCAAACAAAGTCTTAAATTTTCTTATCTTAAAAAAATTAATTACAATTTAAGGCTTTAAATGGATGAAATGATTTTGTAAAAATAAATTGAGAGGTAATTTGGTGTAAAACTAATTTTTTTGTAGTTACTTTAGATTTTAGCAAAAGAAGACAAAATTTTGAATTCCTCATTTTTAATTTTCACTCTTCATGGGTGTGAAAAAAGAATTTGAATTTTTTAATACACTGTAATATAAAATAAATTAAAAAATTATTTCAAAAAGTAAAATTACATAAAAAAATATCATACTAAAAAATCTATTTTTCTCTAATTTTTATTTATCTTTTTTTTTCAGTCTAATTTTTTTATTTATCTAAAAATATATTTTTGAAAAAAAAACATAAAATTATTATTACTTAAAGATTATAGCAGATCGACAACTGCACCAAAATTTAACTAGGTGACTGGTTGAGAAAATCAGTAACAAATTAGAGAAAGCAAAGCTGGATTAGAACGCGCTGGCAACCACTAAACTTTGTCTTTTGTAATCATCATTGAGGGAGAATAACAAAACCTCTAAATAAGTTATTTTTAAACTTAGAAATTTTGTGGGACACAAGTTAAATAATCAATATATTTTTTAATTATATTTAAATGCATTATAAAAACATGATAGTAATTGTATTTTTATATTTTTTAATAAAAAAATATTTTAATTTTTTTATTAATATTCTTAAGATACTATTTAACTTTTTTTAAAAAAATTTATTTTATAAAATTGTATACGTCATTAAAGAATAACAACAAGAACGTTGCATCCACTTCGAATAAAAACACTTTTTAAAATAAGATTTTACATAAGTTTTATGTGAAATGATGTAGAAAGAGACAACGTTGTTTTTAAAATTTAGGTAAACTTTTTTACTTTAATTGTCAAAAGAATTCACGTGAAAAATACTTTTTACAACAGTTTTAAAAATAACTAATGTAGAAAATAATGTAGTGGCATTTTAAAAAATAAATACAATAATATTTTTGAAATTTATACAAATTTTTTTATATTAGTTGCTTTTAGAACCGATGTGTAAATTACTGTAATTCTATAATTTTTTGCGTTCATAACTAAAAAATTTTAGCACAAGATTCTTATTTGTCCAAATTATATATTTATTTCATATAACTTTTTGAGATATATCAAATATAAACACTAACCTTGTTTTTTGAAATTTCAATATTTTTTCTGCTTTTTCTATTTTTTACTTTTCTTATTCATTATTTTCCAAAAGTATGTATATAATTTGTAAAAATAAAAATTTTATACTAAAAGTGCCTTTTAAACTTTTTAAAATTATTGAATTTCTTACATCAATTTAATAAATAGCCGATGTAAAATATATTTTCTACATCGATTTTAGAAACAACCGATGTAGAAAGTATATTTTACATCGGTTGTTTATATGAACTGATGTAAAATCCATTCAAATTTAAAATTTTCAGAGAAATAACATAAATTAGATATGAGTGCAAAGATTTTTTTTAAGTTTCTAAAGTTTCTGTTAGCTAGGAACATGCATAAATTTTTTATATACATATTTTTCATATATCACTCCTGCGAGAATACGATAATTATTTTATCTTGCTTCATTTTTTATATTTTTTTTCTCATTAAATAATTTGACGAACACTGCATATTCTTTATGTTATAAATTCAAATAAAGATGAACAATGACAATAACAATTAACAAGACGAATATGATAAACATAACAAATACAATAAATATTGATATTTATAAATTTTAATTTAAATAATATTTTAAATGTGAGAAAATATATTAATAATATTAAAACTTTTTATATCGGTTATTATAACCAAATGATATAAAAAGTGACCAGTTGTTAACAAACCAATGTAGAAAGTTTAAAACTTTCTACATTGTATATCTACATTATATGCATGTAAAATATCTTTTTTAACTAATATAAAAAATCTTTTTTTCCCTGATCATGGAAGAAGCTAAAGATTAAAACCAAATTTTGACAGACTCTACACTCCCGTGCAACTTAATTTCGGATTCACTTTTGTAAGATTCTATGCACTTAACACCAAAACATATTGGAGTCTTGTACAAACATTAAGTCCAGAAGAAGAAAAAGGATGAAAGAAGTATTTAAAAAAATAGTTTAAGAAAGCAAAATATTACATGTTGTATATGACACCCATATGCTCCCCTCAGTGTGCATGTGTTTTAACAAGGCAGTAATTTTATTTACTACTTTACTACTTAAAATAACTTAACAAAGATACATAGATATATAAAGTCTTGTGAAATATATAAACTAAATAATGTGTGACTTAAAGAGTAATAACTTGTTTGCTATTATCAAATTCACGACATAAACTCACGTAAAAGATCAATTATCAAATAAATATTTAATTAAACTGTATTTCTCTAAATACAACCTTTGTGGATGATTTCTATTAACTATTTGCAATATGTCCAATTGATACTTGATTGAGTAACGTGTTTAACCATCTTGTTTTGTAAAAAAGAAAGATAAAATTGAAATAATATTTCTATATAATAATTGTCATGTCATCATAGAAGAAAATATTTCCAATCATCAGATAAACATCACATAATTTGTGACTTGTAGAAACATCCAAATACGGTAGTGTACTTTATATTTTCCTCAATATTATACTTTGATGGGAATAATTTGGAGAGGTTGAGCCTTATTCAAGGTAATCCCAAATTTCTCAGATACATCTACATCTTCTGATTTTTGGCCATTCATGAGCTTCCAATCATAGTCAAATAGAAGAGAAGCTAACACAATGTGCACAGTCCTAAAGGCCAATGACAACCCAGGACAAATCCTTCTTCCAGCTCCAAAGGGTATTAGTTCAAAATCTTGGCCTTTAAAATCAATGCCACTTTCCAAGAATCTTTCAGGCATAAATTCATTTGGGTTTGTCCAAATACTTGAATCTCTTCCCATGGCCCATACATTAACTAGAATTTGGGCACTTTTTGGCACCATGAAGCCACCTAGTTCAGCTTCAATGCTTGAATTATGTGGTACTAAGAATGGGGCAGGTGGGTGCAAGCGCAAGGTTTCTTTCACCACTGCTCGCAAGAAAGGAAGCTTTGAGATATTTGATTCTTCAAGTTGTTCACCTTTAGCAAAGACAAGTTGAAGCTCTTCTCTGACTTTTTCTTGTACTTTTGGATTACGTAGCAGTTCTGTCATTGCCCATTCTATGGTACTTGCTGTTGTATCTATTCCAGCCACAAATAAATCCTAATATGGACGATCAATTAGCAAAAATATATAAGATAAAGTTAATTTATGAGGGTCTTTTATTTTTTATGAGAAAAAATAAAAAAATTATCAAAACATTATATTTTAAATTTTTTTAAAAAATCATCAGTGATATTTTTTTAATGTTTTTTTAAAATCGCGACCAACAATTTTTTATTATTCTTTAAAAAATCGCGTTAATAATTTTTTACTTTTTGTAAGACCACGTTACCCACAAAGTCATGCATAAGACAATCGGCAATTTATCCCCTTCACGTGCCTAGGGATGACCATTACTTACTTTTCATAAGCTACGTGATTTGTACGCAAAAATATTAATATTATTTTACTAGGGGATAGTTACGGGTTAGTATTGAATATGACCCAGGAATAATTTAAAATTTAATTTCAATTTATGGTAAACTTTTTATTAATATTTAGTTTAAAGATAAAGTTAACTTCTTTAACATTTTAAAAATTAAATTTTAATAAAAAATTTATAAAATTTTTTAAATATTACATTTATAAGAATTAAAAATATAATTAAACTTAAAATATTTACAAAATTAAATAATATGAAAGTGTTGACACTAAATCTTAAAAAAATTATATTATAAAATATGATACATTTATAAAAATCAAAACTATATTTAAATCTATTTTTTTATGTATATCGATAAATTATTAAATTATTAATTAATTAATTAATATGTTTCTAACTTTTGGGAACAAAACTTCAAAAATACATTATTGTAGATTAAAGTAATAAAAATATTATCTTAAACATTTTTTGTCTTGACATTTTAGCAGATTTTTTTATTTAGTTTGTTCAAACAATTTTTTTAAAAAATTGATCCTTATATTTTTGTAACTTTTAATTTTTTTATTAATGTAGTCCAACTAAAAAATTTCAAAACGGATTAAAAATAAAAATTTATAAAAATTATGTCGATGTTTCTTTAATTCTCATGGCTTAAACTATCAGTTCAATTATAATTATTACCATCACTCCATTTTATTTGTTGAAAAAAAGACCGACTTAGATTTTGTTGGATTCAAATTGACAAAAATTAAACATTTATTCTTATATTTGTTTAAATAAAAATAAAAAAATAATATTTATTTTTATACAAAATTAACTTATATAAATTTTTTTAATTTAAACAAAATTTTATAAATTCACTTAAATAAATTTTATATCTCTTTTCTTTTTAGTCATGCCTAATACTTTTTTTTTTAATTTCTATATTCATCTTTCTTTTATATTTAACTTTTTTTCTTATCTCATATTTAATTACTTTCTTTTTCTTCCAACTCTCTCTTTCTTCTACCTATATTTAACTCACTTTTTTTTCTCACTCTCACCCTATTCTATATTCTATAACTATTTCTGTCTCTTTCTTCCATACCTCTTAATCTTTCTCTCCTTCCACTATAATTTCTTTACTACTTAATTTCTTTATCTCTATTAATCTTTAGTACTCTCTTTCTTTCACACATAACCTACATCTTTTCAAATACATAAAATTTACTTAAATTAAAAATTTCACATAAATTAATTTTATATATAAATTTTTTTTATCATTTTATACAATTTTTACTTAAACAAAAATAAAACTGAGTCTACACTTTACACCACAAATAAAAATTTATTAGCAAGAGCACTTACCAGAAATAGATGCGATATATGAAGGCGACTAATTTGCGAATTTTCTTCTAGCATGAGCTCCAACACAGAGTCTAACACGTCGTTGCATTCCTTGGATTCCTTTTCTAATGATCTTAAGCGCAATCTTTCTTCTATAAGACCATCAAAAAATGAAATTAACTTAATAAAATAACTATTCATTCGTGAACGTGCACCTTGTGGGTCAAGCTTGCGAAAGATTGGGAAAAAATCCACAACATTAGGCCTTCCAGCTTCTAACATGATACCCCAAATGAGATCCTTGAATTCTTGAGACTTATTAGAAGTGTAATGAGCCAAATCCATAGAGAAGAAAGTGTTTGATATTGAATTAAGCACGATTGTAAAGGAAGCCTCACCAATATCCAAAGCTTGACCTTTATTGCAACATTCCTCAACATAATTGAGTAATTCTTGTATCTTCCTTCTACGAAAAACTTGCGTAGAATCAAGTTGTTGAGAAGAGAAAACTTTGGTAGCGCACACCCTCCTAAGGGTCCTCCATTGTGTTAAAGGTGGCAACCATACCATTGACAATATGTGGTGGTCAAGTGCTCGAACAGTGTCTGGGATTGTCCTATTAGAGAAAATTTGATCATTCTTTTGCAACACTTCTTTGGCAATTTGTGGAGAGGAAATAACTATGGTGTTTATGTTACCAAGCTTGAGACTCATTATAGGTCCATAAATTTGAGAAAGCTTGGTAAGTGCTTGATGAGGTTGGTTCCCAAGTTCTAAGATATTTCCAATGATTGGTAAGGGGCGAGGCCCTGGTGGATATTTGGAGGATTTGGGTATTTTCATCCATAGCCTGGAGATGAAAACATGAATGGTTACACATGCTAGGGAAATTGGTAGAAGTGCAAGGTAGTCCATGGTCATTTGTTTCACTTGGGGTTAGCCTCTTATGTGCGTATGTATATATCACAACTCATCAGATTTGTTTTATGCAATGAATTACAATGAGAGAGAACGGTTGAATGACAAAGCACTTCAAGTCTTTTTGTGTAAATTCAAGATATTTTTCTACTGGGAAGGATTATTCGAGTCACAAATATTTATATTAAAATGATGTTAGCTGCTTTTTAATGAAAAATTTGTTTACCAGAGACAGTTTGAATTCGATATCCTATTTAAGAAAATTTAAATGTATATTACTTTTGTTTGCTGTCATGTTCGTGCATATAAAAAATTTATATGTTAATTATCTTTATTTTTATTTCTTCTTTCCTTTTATTATATAAATGTTGTTAAAAAAAACATGAGTGAAAATAACATTACTCTATAGGTTTTCTTAACTAAAGCAAATGCTTTAATTAAATGTCTTATGGGTTGCAATATTATTCTTTTCTTACAACTTATCAGTCTGCAACTACTAGAAAACTTTTGGAACACACCGCTAAATATGCAACGAATTTATCGATTTATGAATTAAATGAAAAAAATAGAGTTTTCTTTTCTTTATTTTTTTAATATTCAAGTACGTAGTTCTTGATATTTATCAATATATATATATATATATATAGAGAGAGAGAGAGAGAGAGAGGCGCTACAGGACAATCCATTTCTATGTTGTCTTCACCCTTTATTACGTCCCTTGCGGTGAAGATGGCTATCAAGTCCCTTTCGAAACCTATTAGTGTGTACCTGTCAAATAGGCAGTAAAAACAACTTTAGGAGCTGTTTGGATCCAAAAAATCATGAAAAGGAGGGAAAGAAGTAAATTTGTAAAGGGAAGTGACAGGTTGGGCGCCAAAAGGCCAGAATCAAGATAAGATAGGATAACTATTTTTTCTATTTTTAGTTTAGTGTTTGGTCAATTATAAAGAAAGGATTAATTTATTTATTATTTATTTTATTTTATTAGACTAATATAATTATTATTACAAAAATATAGTTGGATTAGAATTTAGAAGTAAATAATAATAATAATTTTTTATAAAATATTTTTAATTTATTTTATTTTTTTCCCTCTCTCTTCTCTCTTTTTTCTATTTTTATATATTTTTAAAATATATTATAATTTTTTATTAAAAATAAATAATTTATATAAAGTAAAAAAATAAATATAAATAAAAAGATAAATTTATCAATTTTTATATATTTATATCATGTATTTTTTTCAGTTTAAATATAATAAAAGTTTATCATAATATTATTATATCTTACTCTTATCAGATCATCTTATCCCTATTTGACCATTCAAGGAACCTTGAGTTTTAAATCTTGATAAAGGGTAGGATATAGGCTTAGGAATTTTTTGGATGGAGTCCACACAAAAAAATATCAATAAAATTTGGGTTTTTTATTTTTAAAAATATTAAAAATTAAAATAACTCAAAAAAAAATTAAAACTTTTAGAACTATCTTTTATTCTCTTTTTCAATTAAAATATTTTTTTTTATTTCCTTCTTTCTTGTTTAAGTTCATTTAAACATGAAAAATTTCTAGGCAAATAATTTAAATATAGTAAAATACAAATAATATACAGTGAATGTACATGAATATGGCCTTTCAAAAATTATTATTGGCGAGATTTTCATGGCTCAGACAAAAACTTGCAACCTGGAGACCGGAGTGACATGACTAGGAACTTGATGGACATCTGAAAAATCGCCATAGGCGATCTTTAACCCTTCCATTCATGAATGCATGTAAAAATATTGAAAAATCGTCATTAACGATGTTTGACTAGGGAGTACTGTTCCTCCAACTTTTCCAGGAACATTCATGAAGTTTGATCCTTGACATTAGATTTGGACTAAGGAGCACTGTTACTCCAACTTTTCTAGCGGCATTTATGAAGTTTGATCCCTGACAACTAGATTTGAAATCAAGATGTTTTGTCTTTTCTATGTGTCCATCTTTTCTTTCTTTTTCTTAAATTCTTTTTTGTGCAAACGAGATCGAATGTTCCAATCCATCAAAGCCTCCTCGAGTTGTGTTCCATCCTACCGATCCAGGAAGGAAGCCAGGAAGCTCCTTTCTTTAGGTGCGATATTAGGTGGTCGAAAGAGCATGTTGTATTACGAAAAAAGTAAAAAAAATGGTGAAGCAGTCGATTAGCATGAAATCTCTGAAAAATTGTCATTGGCAATCTTTGACTTCTCATAAACTTGCAACAATACAATGTTCCTTACCACGCGGGTTAGCTATTAAAGCAATTAAAAGTTGCTAAAGACGACTATAAATCCGACTCTGGTGCAAGAGAAGGTATGCTTGAGGAAGTGAGAGAGAAAAGACGAAGGAAGAACAAGGAGTATTCTGAGATTTTTTGGGAGCATGAAGAAGGAATGTTATGAGTGAATGAAAAAATATTTGAGTAAAAAATATTTAAATTCAAAAAAAAATATTTAAAAGATGGTTAGAGATATTATATATGATTCAAATAAGCATATTTTAGAAAATATCTGTAATTTAAATGTAAGTGTTTTAATTTTTATATTTTAATTAAAATATGAATTTAATTACAAATTTGTTATAAATATTTATGGTAATGTAATAATTAGTGAGTAAATAAAAATTACTAAATATACATTTATAGTATTGTAATTAATTGTTATTATTGTATTTATGTTGAGAAATAAATTTGGAAAAAAATAATGCCAAGTAATAATTAAAAATATTTAATATAAAAATAGAAAAGTTTGAGAAAGGAAATTTTTTAAAATTAAAATAATAATTAAATTCGTATTAAATTAATTTATATTAAATTTTTTAATTTCTGTTTTTGTCATTTATTAACATACTGTAATTCATATTAAAGTGTTATTAATTATTTTGAAAACATAGTTTAGAACATTTGGAATAGTTAGTTAGTAAATATAATAAATTATAATATTTATTTTTAAAATTCTGTTATTTTATTTTACTAACATAATATTCTGTTGTGTTTAATTTTTAGAAAAATAACATAACATTTTTTAAAATATTTATGGTAATGTAATAATTAATGAGTAAATAAAAATTATTAAATATACATTTATGGTATTGTAATTAATTTTTATTATTGTATTTATGTTGATAAATAAAATTGGGGAAAAAATAATGTTAAGTAATAATTAAAAATATTTAATATAAAAATAGAAAAGTTTGAAAAAAGAAATTTTTTAAAATCAGGATAATAATTAAATTCGTATTAAATTAATTTATATTAAATTTTGTAATTTCTATTTTTGTCATTTATTAACATATTGTAATTCATATTAAAGTGTTATTAATTATTTTAAAAACATAGTTTAAAACATTTGGAATAATTAGTTAGTAAATATAATAAATTATAATATTTATTTTTAAAATTCTGTTATTTTATTTTATTAACATAATATTCTGTTAGTAAATTAGTAAATATCATAATTTATAATTTGTTTTATTGCTTGTTTATAAATTTCACCTAAATTATTTGTGTTGGTCAATATTATTTTTTAAGAACATGAAATGAGACTATTACCGTCCCATCATTTATCCATAATGCTACTTAGAGAAGAAATAAATATAATTTTACATGAAGCTGAGTTTCATCAGATTTTTAAAATTTGTCATATGCAAATCAATGGTCCTTTGATTAATGCACTTGTCGAATGATGGAGACCTAAAACACACACATTTTATTTACTTTGCGGAGAATGCACAATTACATTAGAAGGTGTTGATATGTTACTTGGACTACGGGTTGATGGTTTAACCGTGATTGGGTCAATTAATCCATTTTCTACAGTGGTTCAAAATATGTGTGATGAGTTATTAGGCGGTCGACTGTCAATGAATGATATTGAAGGATCAGAAATTAAATTAAAGCAGCTTACACAACATCTTGGTTAGCTTCCTGTTAATTCTAACATTAGAAGAGCACAACATGCACGCGAATATATACTTTGTTTGTTGGGCCATGTGTTAATGCCAAATAAAAGTAATTAAGTGGTACATACAAAATTCTTGCAGTTACTGACACGTGAATGAAATTGGAAATTATTGTTGGGGTTCGACATGTCTTTCGTTTCTGCATGGAGGCTTAGATCATGGTTCACGACTTGATGCCAAAGAAATTTGTGGGTGCGTAATAGTTGCAATTTTGGGTCTGGCACCGATTACTGTCGTTGGCACCAATCCCTGGTGAATCGATAGTATTTTCACTTGTTTTGAGATGGAGAAAAATGCGGTATTCAATAAACTCACCATTTAAGAATGTTGGAAGTATTAGATTAGCACTTGATCAAATGGGTGTTAATGAGGTATATCCATATAATGTTATTGTCATTATTAACATATTTAATTTTTGGATTTGTCATATTATAACATTAATATTTGCTTATTTAATGCAGTTTTTATAGCGACCATATAAAGATGATGATATTGATGCTTTAATTCCAGATGACGTGAGAAGAGAACGTTTTGTATGGTCAACTCGTTCCTTCTAAAACTAGCACGAAGAAGCCGTCCACAATCTATTTCATACCTCATACATTTACAATAAAATGTATTTGGTTCTGACTTAACCACTTTATAGTTAACTTCGTTTGCTATACTATAAGACTTAATTATTCGTATAACAGTCTCTCTATCATTAAATTGCTTCCCAACATACAAGTCTCCATCTACATAAGAAAAACCTATGAAATGCAAACACAAATATAACAAATTAAAAGACTATAATTTAATTCATCAACAACATTTTTAAAAATAAGACATACCTAAATTTACATACTCTGAAAACTTAGTTGCGTGTATAGCATCAAGATTTAACAAACGCATGAAAAGTGGCTCTCCAAATGGATGTTGACCAATCATTGTGTTTGACAAATAGACCTCATCATGATCATGATCATCGTCACCCATATCTTCATCTTCACTCAACTCATGGCTTCCATATTCCCCTTCAAAGTCGGAATCATCACTACGATTGTTAGCATTTATCCATTCTACATCTTTGTTTGGTACACTACTTGCATATGTTTCCTCAACATCTTCTTTATCGATGTTAACTGCAATGTCTTTGAAGAAAATATACAACTCAATGGTAGGAGTTGGCTGATGATGTTGTTGATGTATTTGAAACATTTGTAGAACATCAGCATCATTCGTTATTGGAAGTGTTTGATATTGTATGAAACCTCCAAATATTGATATTGGACACCTATAAACAATACTCCACTGCCTTTGAAAACTCAAATACAATATTTTCATTAAGTCAATGTTGTAGTTCTCCAAATGATACATTCTCTCTCATATATACACATGTTGGCCTTTCACACCTAAATAACACACATTCACAAGTATTTGTAATAATCTCATCATTGAAGTAAATCAATAAGAGTACACTCAGTTTTTTTTACTATAATAAACTCATTTTCTCTATCTAAAATGTTTTCTCTCCGCTCACTTTCTATCTAAAATTTTACTCCAACAACTTATAAAAAATGGAGAACTCAGTATTTATAGGCAAATATCATAAGTCACCATTGTCAATTTATAATTTTATCTTATTTTATCCAAAAGTCGTCAATGATAGTTTTTTATTTATTTTTAATTCTTTAGACCCAAAAATTGTCAGTGGTAATTTTATGTTTTTTTTTAATTTTTAAAACTCGCTAATAGCGATTTTTATATATTTATTTTAATTTTTTAAATCTCAAATATCGCATTGGCAATTTTATAAATATATAATTTTTTTTTCATTTTAAATATTTTTATTGGCGAGTTTTCAATATGATTTGATATTTTTGAATTGAAAAACGCCACTGGCGAGATTTGATAAAATTCCATATTTATGTAATAGATAAAAAATTTCATATTTTTTATATTATTAAATATAAATATCATATAAAAAATAGCCAAATTTTCTACTCTATTTTTTTTTAATCGTTGTTTTTTTTCCTTTATTTTTCTCACTTGATCTCCTTAGCATTATTGTCAAGTCGAGTATTGCCTTTCATTTTGATATCTCCTTTGCTTTATGTTATGGGATCTTAATTTCCAACAGAATGATTTAACAAAGAAGAAAAGGAAAAGATTGTAGTTTACCCTTTATTCAATGAGCTGTAATCTATTATTTATTACTTATATCACTTTTACATGAGTATTCTTTTTCGTAGCATTAGAAATTTTGCTAAGGAATATTATTGGCAAGGTGTATTTTCTATTATTTTTAAAAAGATGCTTTTATATTATTGTTTTCTATTATAAGTGTTATTTTAATATTTTTATGTATATAATAATTTTATTTATTTCATGAACACTCATCCATGTTAAACTTTAACTTTATTAAATTTCAAAGATGAATAATAAAAATTGTAAAATATTAAATGAAAGTTGTAAAATAATTATATCAATTATAAAAATTTAATATTTTTAAATATATTTAAAAAAGTCTTCTTAGGTACTAAAATTTCATTTATGTCAACTTGACTTTTCAAAAACTGTGGCATGATTCATTATAATTCATGTGGACACCTTCCTGTATTTAGGCTTTACTCATTAAAATTGTAAATTTTAATGTATTTAGACTTCGTATTTTTCTGTGGCCATTATCGCAACAACCCAACTGAATGGTACCACTTGCCCCTCTAACGCTGTCACTTGGGCCTTCCAATCCATCAGTGTCAAAATGAAATTTTAATTACACCAAATGATTTTTTTTATTCTATAAATTCAAAGATCAAACTTATTAAATTAATTAACGAGACATACTTTAAACTAATTTTGAATTGGTTGAACACATAAAATCAATTCTTACACACGTTAAAAATGTAAGTATGCAAGTTAAAATAATATTTAATTGATTTATAATTTTATTTTACCTTAATTAATACAGCTTTTAATAAAAATATTGAATAATAAATTTTTAATAAAATTATAATATTATTAGTGCATTGAATTTTATAATTTTAATAAAAATTTATTATATATTATTTCTTAATATGTGTCTAGCATTATAAAAAAATAAAATATTTATACTTTGAGTAGTTTAAAAATAAAAAAATAATAAATACCATAATTAATTTTGATAGAATGATTAAAATATATTTTGTATAATTTTTTCCTAAAAAATAGATAAAAATAAATACAATACTACTTTTAATCTTGTTAAGACAAGATAAAAGTTCAGAGTTTATAACTTCTACCTGTAAATTTAAATATGTGAATTTATAGCTAAAAGTTTGTAGCTATACAAGTAATTTATAAAATTATATTATACATAAACAACCATTCTTAATCTATTTCTTTTCATTTTATATTTACTAATCAGCTTTATAAGTCAATAAGATACAAACTTGTAAGTTAAACATAACTTTAGTTTTTAAATCCTAATTACTAATATTTTTATTATATTTATTATTTATTTATTTTTTAAAAAGACAACTTACTCTGCTGATGTGATATTTTAATTATCTTAAGAATTAAAATACTGAATTCAAGCTATTTCAAAGACTAAAGTGAGAGTTTAGTCCTATCTTTATCTTCCTCTGCTATTGGCACAAAAAATGACAAGAATAATGCAAGTCAAGTTTTTATTTAAGAGGTTCAATCTAACATCCACGTGCTTCCTTTATTTAAATTAAAATTATTAAAATTATACCTTTAATAATGAGGGAATTAGATAGCAGAATGTTTTTCTTTCTCCTTTTGGACATACAAATGGAAGCATGTGGATGTCTATAAATGATATGTATAAACTTTGAAGTTCTGATACAATTCTAACGAAAAGGACATTGGGCTTTAATTCTTTCCTCCTTAAATTTATTATAAAATTTATATATATATATATTAAAAAATTGCTTTTAGTTTCTCCATTAGGTATTTCGGCAACCTTTCTGTTTCATTCCTGTTCATACCCTCTAGTGTATATATATATGCCCCTCTCATATGAAAGATATTCACAAGATCCAATTAAACATATCTTTGATAGGAGCAACCCCAACTCTCCCAATCTATATGGATCAGTACTATTGCACTGCAGTTCTGATGGCGATGATTATCGTGTGGCCATGCCTTCATTTCTTCATCATCCCCAACCTATTGTTACTACTCATCAAAAGTGACCCAAAATCCCCCAAAATGCCACCAGGGCCATACCCTTTTCCTATAATTGGAAACATCTTAAAACTAGGCCAAAAGCCTCATCAAACACTTTCTGAACTCTCCAAAATTTATGGGCCCCTAATGACTCTCAAGTTTGGTAGCTTAACCACCATAGTAATTTCCTCTCCCCAGATTGCCAAAGAAGCATTAATAAAAAATGACATTGTTTTTTCTGACAGGCAAATCCCTGATATCATGCATGCCCTTGATCATCACAAAGTTTCTATGGTGTGGTTACCTACATCATCAATCAAATGGAGAAATCTAAGAAAAATTTGCGCAACAAACGTATTCTCTCATCAAAAGCTAGACTCTACTAGAGATTTTCGCCACAAAAAGGTGCAAGAGTTGCTAAACTTTGTGCACATAAGTTGCACCAAGTGTGAACCTATTGATATAGGTCAAGCTGCATTCACAACAGTAATTAATTCCTTGTCCTACACCTTTTTCTCAAGGGATTTTGTTGAGTATGGTCCTTGTGGTTGTGTGCCACAGAATAATTACAGGGGGCTTATGACAGATATAATGGAAGAATCTGGAAAGACTAATTTTGCTGATCTTTTCCCACTTCTTAGATTATTTGACCCACAGGGGGTTAGAAGAAGGGGAAAAGATTATACTCAAAGGCTAATCAGACTTTTCAATGGTATTGTTGATGAAAGGATGCAGTTAAGAGCTTCATGCATTGATTCTGGTGAGGATAATCGTGATGTATTGGATTCATTCCTAAGTCTCATGGAAGTACATGATTCTGCCGAATTGAGTCGCCGCGAATTCTTGCATTTAATGGTGGTAAGTATATATACACGGATACATGTAATATACAAGCAAATAAATTAGAATCTTGCACACATACATGCCATATACACATATGTAAGGGATCTAATGAGAAAGTTATTTTTATATGAAAATAAAATAAGTAAATATAACTCATAAAATAATATATACAGATAGATAATCGGTTCATATAATCATGTGTCATCATATATTTTGTACTAGGACTTATTTGTTGCTGGGACTGACACAACAACAAGCACAGTGGAGTGGGCAATGGCTGAACTTCTTAACAACCCAGAAAAGATGGCCAAAGCCAAAGAAGAGCTTATTCGAGTCCTTGGCAAAGAGGGCAAGCCTGAAGAACTAGACATCTCAAAACTTCCTTACCTAAAAGCAATTGTGAAGGAAACCTTTAGGTTGCACCCACCAGTCCCCTTTTTGCACCACAAATCAAAGTCTGAGGCAGAAATTTGTGGCTTCAGGGTGCCCAAAGATGCCCAAGTTCTAGTTAATGTATGGGCCATTGGACGAAATTCCAATGTATGGAGTGATCCTAATTGTTTTGTGCCAGAAAGATTTTTAGGGTGCAAAATGAATGTTAACGGTCATGACTTTGAGTTAATTCCCTTTGGATCTGGAAGAAGAATGTGTCCTGGACTTCCATTGGCTCATAGATCGGTGCACTTAATTTTGGCCTCTCTTTTGCACTGCTTTGATTGGAAGATTGCAAATGTGAAGAAGCAACAAGAATTTGACATGACTGAGAAGTATGGGCTTGCCTTACGTAGGGATCAACCACTTCTAGCCATTCCAATTAATATCTAATAATGTTAATTTATATTGAATTTGAATGTAATATATAATGTGAAGTATTGTAATTGTTGATGAATAAAATCAAAGAACTTGATTTTAATATCTTCAAAGCTTTGCAGGAATTTTATTATGGCCTTATTAACCACCAACCAGCATTTGCCTTGCAAAATTAAAATTACAGAAATAGAAGTTATCCTTGCTCTATACAAAAGATCATCTTGTTTGAGTGAGAAATTAATATTTATAATATGGTAGGACTCATTTCTACGAGAATACTTTTTTATATAAAAATTTCAAATATAAAATATCACTTCAAAAAATTAAGCATGCACTATTTTAACTTACCACCTTTATTTAATGTTTGGTGAATATACTTAAAACATTGCATTTGCAATGAATAAATTTAAACCTAATATCACTTCAAAAAATTAAGCATGCACTATTCTATGAGAATTCATGCAGACTCGATCTACACTTTAAAAGGAATTACTGGCTTAATTTTTTAAGTTATGAAGAGGCTAATTGTTTCAGCTTTGCATAATTTTAGCACGTTGAAAAATTTTCCCTACTATTCAACCTACTTAGAAAAGTGTATAATTATAACACTGTTTGACTTATTTAAAAAATCATGTCCCGTGAAACCAAAGCAGGATCCGACAGAACCAAAATGGAAGTTACATGGTTTTTAACACAAAGATAAAATTTAAATACAGGTTTATAATACGTAAAGACAATATATGTACAGATTTTTTAATTAACCTAAAAACTTTTTTATATTATAATTTTTAAAGATTATGTCTCAGCTTTTATGGACTCGAAATTACTTCTATTTTATTTTATTTTATTTGTTTCTTTATTTTCATCTTGAATGAAACATTTTCCAAATCATTGTTAGAATAAAGTTTTATCTATAGTTTTGTTCAATTTGAAAGAGACATTGAATGAAAATTGATTTTAGAAAAATTGATCTCCACTTAAAACAAAGATTGAACATTCTTGCTTCAGTGGAAGGAAGTTTCAAAGGTTTGAACAGTGAACAGATAAGGTTTGTAGACTCATAAATAGATGTCACTGATTGAGGCGTGCCGCAAACCGAGGACCCTGTTTACACGAACCTGCCTTATAAAGAAAAAAGTAGTTGAATGACTATGGATAAGAAAAATGCTTTTTCGCGTTAAAATTTGATAAAAACGGGAGATTTTAATATCTTCTATTTTTTTAATAAGTATATTGATTTAAAAGTATTATTTTTATATAAGTGATTTATATTTAAATTTGAGTCGTTGATAGAAATAGTTTAAAAATAGATGGTTAAGATTAAAAGTTAAAAAGGTTAATAAATATGAAAAGAAGTTATAAGTGAGACAGATGAAGAAGGGTAATAACATAAAACTAATATTTTAGATTATGTATAAACTAATTTGTATAATGTAAAATATGTGTAAAATTTTAAAATTTTCTGCATAAACTAATCTGTATAACATAAAATATGCGTAAAACTTTAAAATTTTCTGCATAAACCAATCTGCATAGACTAACACATGAGTATTTTTAAATTTTTTGCGTAATTTTGAAATTGTGTGTAATTAAGTCTAATTTATCATCCTTAAAATTTAAATATACAAACATGTGTTTATGAAAATAGAATTACATAGAGATGAAAATGTGGTCTTTTCTCGTCGGAACTCAATATGTGGTCTTTCCTTATTCTCTTATGTGGTTTCCTCCGCTATTTCCTCTTAATCGCATGTATTGCTTTATCAATCAAATCTGGGTTTCAATTTGTATAACAAAAAACAGGTTGAGATATGGCTGGAAAAATTTTACTGGAAAGGGAAAGATCCCTGACAAAACTAAGAAAAAGATGAAATGTGGTTGAAAAAAAGCAAAAATGAAGAAGACGTAGAAAGTATTTTTTTTTTTAAAATCACAGCTTTTTACATTGGTTCTTAGAGAGAACTGATGTAAAAAGTTATTTTTATTTACGTAACTATCTCTACATTGGTTCTCTCACCGAACTAACGTAAAAAGTTATCTTTTTACATAGTAATACTTCTACATCAGTTATGTTGTCCAACCGGTATAAAAGACCTCAACCTCATTCTCAACTTAAACTTGGATAAGTTGTACATCAGTTTAATTCTATAACCGATGTAAAAACTTTTATGTACAATTTTAAAAGAATGTAATACATGACATCGAATCTATCCTATAGGCATTGTAAAATGATGAAAGCGTGAATTTGTATGCATTACCATTTTTGACACCTTAATTCATATCACATTTTATTGCATTGGTACACCATAAATGGCTCCATCTTTGCAGAAGAAAGGTAGAAGTGCAAAAACTATTCTACCATTGATGAACACTGTCTTTTTTTGTTTTTAATTTTAATTTTTTTTTTTGTAAACTATTGTACCTACATTTCCCAAATCTGTTACTTTACTCACCTAGTGAGTCCATGGAACTTTTGAAAACGCAATGCACCGTAAATCAAAAACGAGATGAGAACAGAGGTTAAATGAGCATCTCACACCCAAAAAATGCCCTACATAGGTCTTTCCCAAAACTCCTCAATAACTAAGGTAAACAACGTAAGAAAAACACTCATTTTTATACCGATTTCGGAAGAGAGATGAAAATGGGATGTTTTGTTGATGAGAATAAGAAAGTATTTATAGCTATAGCAATATAAACAAGAATATTCACATGTGCCGTAGGAACATATACATAGAAAATACGAGAATTTTTACCTTACTGAAGATAGGAAGGTTTCACAATGACCACAATATTGAAAGGGCATTAACATCATATTACCATACATTTGATGTAGATATGTTTATGAGTTAAGTTGTAAACGGTGCATGTTTTATAACATCAGTTATGCACACAAATGCAATACAGTGCAATAGTAAATTGTAAAAGGTGGCATTTTATGACATCGGTTTACTCACACAACGGATGCAAATACAGTGCAATAGTAAATTGTAAAAAGTAAAATGACATCAGTTCACCTACACAACTAATGTAAATATGTTTATGACTTAATTATAAAGGTCCTTATTTTTGGCATCAGTTAAGCAAACAACTGATGCAAATGTCTGCGACACATTTGTTAAACTCTGTCTACAATTTAACATCTTTTAACTATCAAACTGTTGCAAAAACTATAAAATATTCAATTTTTTTTCATGTATGTGACCTGCATAACCAATTTCATTGTAGTAATACAGTCATCTCCTTATTGAGGGAAGCTAAGAACACAACTCATTACATTTTGTATTACTGCACAGTACACAATCGTTATAAATATGTAACCAAGATATGTATTTTTAATATACACTACATTAATATTAATAAACCCATTGCAACTCACTGATATTGAAATGTTTTTCTTCCAAAACATTAATTTCTACAATGAATTTTAAATCTACCCAATGCTCATAGTGATTAACTCATCAAAATATCCTTACTTTTTACATTGAATCTCCATAACCTGATGTTATTTTTATCTTAAACTTAACTTTATACATAGTTAATATTTGAAATTTCATGTTTTTAACATTGTAAAAGCTCCACACCTGTTGTTTTGTTATGCAATTATCGTTATAAACTCTCAACATCTGATTTTCAATAAACTTGATATATATATATATATATATATATATATATGACCCATATATATCAAAATAATATAAGTTGAATATCCACAACTCGATGTTGTTGTTCTCTTTAACCTTAATTTATTCCACGAGTTATACCATAGAGTTGTATAAACTGACCTTTTTACCGCTGAAGACGAAGAGAACCAACAAGAAGAGGAAGAAAACACAAAAAAATAATAAAAACATGAAATTACCAATGTATCATTTCATAAATCTAACTTGAATATTTGGTATCTTGTAATTCATTTTTAACCATTCGATTAAAATCAACGGTCCATAATATTTAATTACTTTTACAAAAGTTTTCTTTCCCTTATTTTTTACAAAAGAAGGGAGGATATTAGAATCTGCCAATAAAACGGGCGGGTTATAATATTCTCCTTTCTTTTGTAAAAAGTATATGTTTTTTGAAAGCATAACTTTTGCATAAGTGATTAATAATTGAAACTAAGCCGTTGATCGTGGCAGATTAAAATTGGATGACTAAGATTAAATATAAAAAATGTTAACAAATGCAGATAGAAGTTATTAGTGAGCGGGATGAAGAGGGTTAATAACGTAAATCTGACAAGTTGTGTACATAAAATTGCATTAACATCATACGCCATATACATCTAATGTAGATATGGTTAACATGAGATAGTAACGAGACAATTGTAAAGGAGAGATATTACCTTAGCACCCAATCAATCTAAATACAGTTTATGCAATATGAAAAAGGTTGTCGTGAGCAAACATGTTCATTGCTATACCATCATTTGCTCTGTTATACTCAATGGATGAGGTAGTAGTAGATCCAGTCATTGTTATCAAAGCTATTGGACATCAATGGTATTGGACTTATGAGTATTCAAACTATAATAGTTCGGATGAACAGTCACTCACTTTTGACAGTTATACGATTCCAGAAGATGATCTAAAATTGGGTCAATCACGTTTATTAGAAGTGGACAATAGAGTGGTTGTACCAGGCAAAACTCATTTACATATTATTGTAACACTCGCTGATGTACCTCGTAGTTGGGTTGTACCTTCCTTAGGTGTCAAATGTGATGCTGTACCTAGTCATTTAAATTAGATCTCTAATTTGGTACAACGAGAAAGGGTTTACTATAGTCAGTGTAGTGAGATTTGTGGAAATAATCATGCCTTTACGCCTGTCGTCGTAGAAGTTGTTCCTAGTCAAGATTTTGGTTCTCGGGTATCCAATCAATTAATCCCTCAAACAACAGGGGAAGCTGCAACAGAAATGAAAGTGTAGGGTGAGGGATAGGGCGGAAGCCACTAAATGGTTTTAGCACACAATCAATGCAAATAGAGTGCATGTGCAATATGTAAAAGGTGGTC